TTAAAACCTTAGCTTTTTTCACACTCCAAACAATCAGCATAACAGCTCATACATGCCCAACCAGCTGATTTGTACAACTGTTATCTTTTGTTAATTCAATGAAATATTTTCCACCGTAATGAAGTACAGAAACAGATTCAATTATGATCTTCTGAAATTGATGACAATATTTCACAAAATACAGTGTTCTCACTGAAAATAATGTTAATTACATACTGGACAGCTTTAGGAGGAACATGGCAAGTGGCTCCAGGTGTGTTACCACCCTCCTCTACAAAGCAGTACCTAGGAGGACACTGCACGTAACATACTGCTCCTAACACAGTCTTCAGTATTGTCATCGTTTTCCCCTTCCCCAGAAGAAGGGAAAAAAAGTGCAGAAACTGGAGAGAGTCCAGAGTTACCAATGGAACTGGGGTCAAGCAAAGGACTTATGAATAGAGACTGAGTACTTGTTCAGTCTGGTAAAATGGGAGCTACAGGATAGCTGAAAAGATACCTAAAAATGACCACATGAGAGGCACAAAGAGGGTGAGAATGACTGTCCAGGTTTTTGCAGATGACATTACAGGGGCTAAAGCTACCAGCCACAGACTGGGAGATTCAACTAGAAACTTAAGACTTTTTTCCAGCACATTTGTTTTGAGGAAAATAGGAAAAACAAAATTTCTATTCTGAACAGACATAAGAACCAGCAATGGCTCATCTTCTAAAAAAATATTTCAGATGAAAGTTAGCATTGGTGTCGATGTTCACAAGCCATCAGCAGTGCCCGTAAGCATTTCAATTTCAGGAACAGCTGGCAGTCATTCCGACCTCTCTCCATCATTTTCCTATGAGCCTCTTTTCCTGAGGTTATAGTACCTGTATCAATCACACCAGATATTTGTATTTCTACTGAGCAGTAAAAACAAACAAAAAACCTACAAGTATTGTGGCTGTTCAATGTTCCATAAAAATTACTAGCAACTACACTAGTGACCAGAATCACTACAACAACTGCATGTTAGTCCTTAGAAAGATTTTCAAGAATAGCTCATTATTTCTTTGTGTAAATAGGAAACATTGCCTACTCTTTGCCCAATTATAGTTGTAACAAAAAAGAAAAATAAACAAATCTATGAATTCATTGTTAGAATGAATCTTGATGCTTTCGTTCCTTTGCTGCTAATGACACAAACTGTAGACGAGAACTGTAACAGAATTTACATAGAAACTTATTAGTACGGTGAAACAAAAACACAGATCTGAAATAAAAATCAGCTGACGCGAAGGAAAAAGGAGCAAAGAAAGAAGGTGGAACACAGGAATAAGGGACAGGTGGTGAGAAAGGCTGGCATTAGTATTTACAGTAGTAACTAAGATTAAAATGAAAAAGTTAAAAATAAGGTTAAACGGAAAGCAAACTGACCAAAAACTCCTTACAGAAGGCAGTAAGAAATGATAGTGGAACTATTCAAAGGAGTATGTTTGGACACAGCTCAGGAAAAACCATGTCACAGGGCTCAGCACCAACAACACAGAAAAAACAAAGACAAGGAAGGAATATTTTCAAACTTTATCAGTAAGGTTGGAAGTGACCTTCACTATCATCTAATTCCAACCCCCTGCCACAGACAAGGATACCTCCCTCTAGACCAGGCTGCTCAAAGCCCCATCCGGCCTGGCCTTGAACAAACGCAGGTGTTCACAGCTTCTCTGGGCAATCTTTTCCAGCGTCTCACCACCCTCGCAGTAAAGAATTTCTTCCTAATATCCAGGTTAAATCTACCCTCTTTGAGTTTAAAGCCATTTCCCCTCATCCTGTTGCTACATGCCCTTACAAAAAGTCCCTTTGCAGCTTTCCTGTAGGCTCACATCAGGTACTGGAAGGCCACTATAATGTCCCCTCAAAACCTTCTCTTCTCCAGGCTGAAGCCACAGCCTGTCCCTGTAGGGGAGATGCACCAGCCCTCAGATCATTTTCATGGCCTTCACCTAGATCTGCTCCAACAGCTCCATGCGCTTACTGTGTTGGGGGCCCCAGAACTGGATGCAGTGTTCCAGGTATCACGGGGCAGAATCACCTCCCTCAACCTGCTGGCTATTCTTCTCCTGATATAAACTAGGATGTGGTTGGCCTTCTGGGTTGCAAGCACACTTTCCTGGTTCATGTTGAGCCTTTCATCAACTTACACTCCCAAATCTTTCTCCTCAGGGCTGCTCTCAAGCCATTCTCCACCCAACCTGTGTCTCTGCTTAGGATTGCCCTGACCCAGGTGTAGGACCTTGCACTTGGCCTTGCTGAACATCAAGTGGTTGGCAAGGGCCCATCTCTCAGGCCTGTCCAGGTCCCTCTGGACCCAGATACCCTCTGGGTATCCCTTTTCTCTAGTATGTTAACTACACCACCCAGCTTGGTGTCATCTGCCAATTTGCTGAGGGTACACTCAATCCCACTGTCCATGTTGCCTAGAAAGATATTAAACAGAACTCAGCTGAGAGGAACACCACTTGTCACTAGTTTCCACCTGGACATTGAGCACTGTTGACCACAATTCTCTGAGTACAATTATCCTACCAATTCCTTATCCAGTAAGTGGTCCATCTGTCAAATTATTTTTTCTCCATTTTGGTGACCACACGAGACAAAGTCAAACACTTTGCACAAAACCAGGTAAATGAAATCAGCTGCTCATCTCTCACTGATGCTGTAACTCCACTGTAAAAGGCCACCAAGTTTGGCAGGCAAGACTTATCCCCTCGTGAAGCCATGTTAGTTACCACCAATCACTTCATTTTCCATGTGTGTTAGTAGGGACTTCAGGAGAATCTGCTCCACAGTCTTGCCAGTCTCAGAGGTGAGAATGACTGGCATGTAGTTCCCTGCATAGCTTTTTTTCCCTTCTTAAAAATGAGGGTTATGTTTCTCCTTTCCCAGCCATTGGAAACTTCTCATGATGACTTAACTCACACAGCCCATCTTATTCGTCTAACTTCTTCCAAACTCAGCTCACCTTTGCCATTTCAAAACACGACTGAATGCTTCACAACAAACTAGCATGCAACAGCAGACATAAAAATGCAAGTTTCAGCTTGCTCTCATGCGGAGGCATTAAACTAATTATTAATTAGTTAACTAATCAAATTAATTCACACGAAGCCATTCCAGCAGACAGTTAAAACCTACATCTGAAGACACGCTTTCCAAAGTTTACACGTCCAGTTTGGGCGATAAGCACCGATAGCACGGCATACACACGGATTAATGTCACGCAACAACCTCCTGCAGAACGGCACAACGATGGAGCGGGACAGGCAACGACGGGGCAGGCGGGCGCCGGAGCTCCAGGAAGTCGAAGCCCCGGGGTGCGCACACCACGGGAGGCGCTCCCACGCAGCGCCAGCGCCTCTCGGAGCGCCGTTTGGAGGACGGGGACGCTCGAAGACAGCGGCGGCTGCTCAGAACGCCCCGCACGTGCTGTAAGGCAACAGAAAGGAGCGACAGAACTCACCGCAGCCGCGCCGGCCCTCCGCGCGACTCGGGGAGAAGCTGCTTCGCCGTCGGCCGTCAGCCTGCGGGAAGAAAACAGCCGCGCGTAAGAGCCGCGGCCGCCCTGCCCCGTCCCGCGGGACGCCGCCCCCCCGCAGCGCGCCGCCCCGTCCCCTCGGCGCTGCCCGGTCGGACCCGTTCCGCGCGGAGCCGGGGGCCGGGCGGACGGCGCGGAGTCCTCGTCCCGGCGGCCCGCCGCAACGACAGCGACAGCGGCACCCACCCGACGCCACGGAGAGCCCCGCACGACGCCGCGCAACTTCGCGGCTCCCCCCTGCCCGGCGCAGGCCGCTCCCGCCGCTCGTCCCGCCCCGCTCCCGCCCGCGGGACTCCGCCAGCCCGTACCGCCTCCACACGGCAGCGCGCCGGGCCCAGCGCCGCTCGGCCCCGCGCCCGCTCGCTGCCCGCCACGCCACGCCACGCCACGCCGCGGGTCGCGGAAGGCTGCCCAGCCCCACCCCGCGCCCCGCCCGCCGGCAGCCCGCTCCCCTGCCCCGCGTACCGGAGGAGCACCCGCGCGGGACGGCAGCGGCGCGGGAGCGGGGAGCGGGGCACGGCTCACGGCTCACCGCGGCGGGGCGGGGCGGGGCGGGGCGGGGCGTGCGCGCGGCCCCCGCCTATTCTGAAGCTCGCGCCACACGCGGGCACCCACCGCCGGAGCCGCGGCACCCCGCCTCCCCGGCGCGCCGCGCTTACGTCATCTCCGCGCGACGTCGACGGGCTCTGCCCGCCGCAACGTCGGGCAGGCGCCGTTCTGCCGCGCATGCGCGGGGTGGGCGCCCTCGCTGCGGCGGCGCGCGTTGTGCTGCCGTTCGGCTGGGCGGCGTTCGGCGGGGTGCGGCGTGATTGGAGGAGGCTGACGCTTTGCGCGGAGCTCTGTTTGTGGCGCGGAGCGGAGCATTTACCGCAGAAATTCATGCTTTGCCTCCGCACAGAGCGCCTCGATCCTGAGTTATTTCGTTGTGACCCCTGAACGCGCCCTGCGCTCGAGCGGCCGCCCCCCGGCGCGAGGCGGGACGCAACCGCGGCGCGAGAGCGCCCCGCCCCCGCCCCCGCGCGGCCGCCGTAGCGCCGCGGTGACGCGCTCCTGCCGCGCTGCCCGACGGGAGCTGCCGTCCCGCTGCCGTCCCGCGGCGGCCGCACGTGTGCGCGGTGCGGAGCGGCGCCGCCATGCCTAAAGTGAAGGGAAAGAAGCGGCCGCGGCAGCAGCTCCAGGAGGGCCGCGCCAACGGTGAGTGCCGCCGGGCTGTCGGCGCGGGGACGCGTCGGAGGGTTCTTGGGCTTAATGGAAAAAAGCGCCCGCGTTTCGCCGCGGCTCCTGGTCGGGCAGGCGCGGGGTGCGAGCTGTCGGTCTGGCTTTGCCGCAGGTATCTTGTTCAACACCGGCGCCGGGCAGCACATCCTGAAGAACCCCCTCGTCGTCAACAGCATCATCGAAAAGGTGCGTGCCCCAGGGCGCTGTCCGTGTGCTCGCGGCGCCGCTGGGCAGTCGGGTGTCCGCGCGAAACCCCAACGGTTCTGCCGTCCCGAGGTGTTCAGCTCACGGCGTCTCATCAGCGCCTTTCCTCTTGGGAGAGAGCTGGGACTGCTCAGCCTGAGGAGGCAGGCCCCCTTCTTACAGACCTCCGGAAGCTGCCTGGACGTGGGCCTGGGCACTCTGCTCAGGTTGAGCTGGGTGGACCCACGGAGCTTTGCCAGCCTCAGCCCTTCTGGGGTTCTGTGAAAGTAATGGTGAGGCCGTGCTGGTGTGGGTGCGTGTGTCAGGGGAAGTGAGTGCCCACCGTGCCTGCTGCACCTAACAGCTGTCACTCAGAGAGCTGAGAAGTTCTTTCAGCCCGCTGTTAGGGCATCAGCTGAGGGAGGTGATCAGCTTCAGAGTTGGGCTCAGGAGCAGAAGGAATTTTTGCTTTAAAAACGTGCTTTGATACATTTTTATTGTCTATGTCTTTTTTTATGGTTGCAGAGATGTCTTTCTGTACTGTATTTCTTACATTTTACTGTATTTCTTAAAAAATGGTATTTGCGTGCTTACTCTTCCATACTCATCTAAGCATCACTTAATTCAATTGTAGGACATTCTTGTTTTCACTGTTTTTCTCCCTTCTGTTTCTAGACTACTTTTATATTTCTCTATTAGTTCAATTCATGCTTTTACTGAGCTGCACATACCTTCCATTTTAGAATTGAATGACTGCTAGAGGTTTGTTTTAGAAAAATACTGAGATGCTATTTATTCTTAGGCTGCATTGCGGCGTACAGACGTTGTTCTGGAAGTAGGCCCTGGAACTGGTAACCTGACCGTAAAGATGCTAGAGAAAGTGAAAAAAGTAAGTGTGGATTTCCTCCTGTACTTAAATCATGTTATGGCTTAGAGTGTGGCAAACAGAAGTGTCTTTTGCTGTCTCATCCAGGTAAGTAGAACTACCTGATTTATATTTTTCTCAGTACTCGTACTTCCAGTGAGTTTTTGTCTATTTGTGTAATTCATGTATGCTTTTGTCAAACTGTATTGCTATTATCAATTTATTTTGTATCTATTACACGTCAAAGCGTAATGCAGGTGTCCTAAAAATGAGCTTAGGGATGCCAGAAACCTCCTGTGGAGCAGACGGGCAAAAGCTCACTTGATCTTGATTTTCAGTACGAATACGGACTGTGGAAGGGGGGCCTTACGATCATTTTGAATTTTTGGGTTTTAAGCAGGGATACCTGGATTACCATAGGGATAACTGGCTTGTGACATTCATAGCGACATCGCTTTTTGATCCTTTGATGTCAGCTCTTCCTACCATTATGAAGCAGAATTCACCAAGTGTTGGATTGTTCACCCAGTAATAGGGAACATGAGCTGGGATTAGACCATCGTGAGACAGGCAGGAAAAAAAACACACATAGCCTGATGAAAATATTGAAGAGCTGCTTAATCCTGTAGCAACACTTGCTTACACCTATTTTACAATTGTAATTTTAGACCCAGTCAGGAGTTCATATGAAGCATTGCAAATATATACATTATTTTCAGGTTATTGCTTGTGAAATTGATCCCAGACTTGTGGGTGAACTTCAGAAAAGAGTCCAAGGCACGTAAGTATCAACTGTGGAAATTACGTGAACTTAAAGCATTGGAGCTGCTTTGGCAAACACCCTAGCAACATGCTTATTTGAAGGTAACCCCAGTGTACTTTTCTTTAGGTGTCTGGCAAACAAACTTGAAATCAAGGTTGGAGATGTCTTGAAAACAGACTTACCATTCTTTGATGCGTGTGTAGCCAACTTGCCTTACCAGGTATAGAGTAAACAACGTGACAAAATTTTTTTTCATAATTGCTGGGAAGTTGTGCTGATGTTACTACTCTTTTCCTCAGATTTCTTCGCCATTTGTTTTCAAGTTATTGCTTCATAGACCCTTTTTCAGGTACGTGGAAAAGCAGTGCTCTAGAATGCTGGATAGAAGAAAAAGCCTCCTACTTTCTTTGTTTTTTGTAATGTGGAAACTGCTAATGCCTGTAGATTAGTTAATGTCAATGTGTTGTGCTCAAGGAGGATTTAGTCTTTGGGTAAGTGGGTGTCCATCTGATGAAATGAAGAATTTGTCCTGTTTGCATTAGAGTTGTGACTGATTATTATTCCAGGGATAAGCAGCACATAGTAAGATTTCAGATGCTTTGCTACATTAGGCAGTAAGGTTGATAAGGGTAAAATTGAAGCCATGACATTTCCTATTGTCCATAAGGTGTAAAAATGTAGTTGACCACGTACTTCTGTGTGTTGTTCAGTGTGTCACTGACAAACTAGTTTTAGTGATGTTACTGGTGAGTTTTTGGAGTTAGAGAACTTGGGATTGAAACATTTGTCATAGAAATACTCAAAATTATTTGTTAGTCACACACAAAACTCAGACTAGTCTGTCTCTTTGATCTTCATCCACTTGAAATAATCAAACTCTGTAGTAGCTCTGAAACAGTTTGACTGGTTTCATTGAGATTTCTTTGAACAGTCCAAGCTAATTAAGCAAGTGTGCACACTCCTTTAAGTGCTGAGGGGGAAAAAGATGTGTTTTCTACTAGTTGGCTTTTGACTTAAAAGTTGATTAAACTTAGAATTTATTTGTCATTTCTGTTTCTCCCAGATGTGCAATACTTATGTTTCAAAGAGAATTTGCACTTCGTTTGGTTGCAAAACCAGGAAGTAAGCTGTACTGCAGACTTTCTATTAATACTCAGTTATTAGCTCGAGTGGACCATCTGATGAAGGTATGCATTACATAATAAAGCTATTGAAGAAAAAACTGTGTTTCTATGAATGTGAAGATGTGCAGATTGATCTCTGCAGCTGCTTAACTTCTAACAGGTTGGAAAGAACAACTTCAAGCCACCTCCTAAAGTTGAATCCAGTGTTGTCAGAATAGAGCCAAAGAACCCACCACCACCCATCAACTTCCAGGTGAGCATCATATGATCTACTAACAATGTAACATACTACTTATTATATCGCATGCATGACAAGGAGGTGATCTGAGACAGCCAGCATAACTTCTCCAAGGGCCACTTGAATGGAATTCTAGGATGGAGTGACAGCATCAGTGGACAAAGGAAGGGTAATGATGTCATCTTCCTGAATTTCCACAAGGCCTTTGATGTGCTATCATTGCCACATTCTTATGTATAGATTGGGAAGATGTAGATTTGAGAGGTGAACTATTCAGTAAAGAAATTGGTTGTATGGTTGCAGCCAGAAGTTTGTGGTCAGCAGGTCTATGTCCAGGTAGAGGCTGGTGATGAGTGGTCTCCCCCCAGAACATCTTGGGATGAGTGTTCTTCAAGATCTTTATCAGCAATCTGGAAAGTAGGTTTCAGTGTACCCTCTGAGCCAAGTGGTGCAGTTGATACAACAGAAGGAAGGGATGCCATCCAGACAGACCTGGAGAGGCTTGAAAAGTGGGCCTTTGTGAACCTCAGGAAGTTCAACAAAGCCAAGTTCAAGGTGTTTCACTTGGGTTGTGGCAGATAGAGCAGCCCTGCAGAGAAGGACCTGGGGATCCTTGAGGATGCAAAGTTTGATCCAAACCAGCAGCATGCACTTGCAACCTGGGAAGCCAAGTGTATCTTGGGCTCCATCAACGGGGTGTCCAGCAGGGTGAGGGATGGGAATGTCCCCCTTTAATCTGCCCTTATGAGGCCTCACCTGAGGTACTGCATCCAGTCTTGGAGCCCCAAACACAAGAAGGATGTAGAGATGTTGGGACGGATTAGAACAGGGCCACAAAAATGATCAGATGTCTTCAATGCACCTCCCATGAATACAGGCTGGGGGAACTGGTCTTGTTCAGCTGGAGAAGCCTATGAGGAGACCTCATTACTGTCTTTTTTTACATAAAGGAAGCTTATAAACAAGAGGAAGACTTACTTTTTACAGAGGCAGATTGGATAAGCGGAAATGGTTTTAAACTAAAGAAGAGGAAATTTAGGTTAGATTTTAAGAGATTCTTTACTCAGAGGGTGGTGAGGCACTAGCACAGGCTTCCTGGAGAAGCTGTGTGTGTCCCATCTAAGAAGATGTTACAGACCATGTTGACTGGGGCCTTTGGGTAACCAATATCATGGAAGTTGTCCTTGCTTATGGCAGGTGAGTTGGAACTAAGTGATCTTTAACGTCCATTACAACATAAGTCGTTCAATGATTCTGTTTCTGACAAGACTGAGATAATCACTCCATATCAGCTGGGGAGTTGCAACTCATAATGTACCTCTCGTAGTGCTCCCCTAGAAATTTCTTCTCGCTGGTGACTTTGTTGTTTATGATAAAAAGAGTGTCTTCAGGTCACTCTTCACAGTCTCAGAAGATAGATGCTACGAGATAGTATTTTTGGAGTTGATTTTTGAAATGCTTTGATCTTAAAGACTTTTTCAGCCTTGTCCAGCACTATCCAAATATTCTTGAAGCATCTTGCATCTTCAGCACTTAAAATTTCACCTGGAAATCTTGGCCACAGGAAAGAGCAAATGGTTTTATTGGGTGACATGGTTTTTTTTTTCTTCTCAACTTGTATTGCTCTGTCCAAGATTGTATGGGTTTTCATGACATTCTTAAGAAAGGTACTCTCCTGAAAGATCATTTAGTATTGCAAAATTATCAAGTGTTTGTTTCTGATTGTAGCAGCTGTATTTTCCTTTCAGTAAATATTGTACACTTCAATTTCAGGAATGGGATGGTCTGGTAAGGATAGCCTTTGTTAGGAAAAACAAGACGCTCTCTGCAGCCTTCAAGTAAGTAACTTCTATTCGAGAAAAAAATTTCAAAGTTTGAGAGTTCATCCAATTCACCGTTCACTTTGTTAAAATGCCTGGCATTGTTAAATGCATGCCACCAGAGTCTGGGATAAACTTTGAAGGAGAGTTTGTGCTGAGTTTATACAAACTCTTACAGAATGAAACTTATAGGAGAAAACTCTTTAACAGGCATCTGTTTAAAAAGAACAACTCTGTGTAATCATTAGTTTATTTTTATACTAAGTCTAACAGAAAGACAAAGAAACTAAAGATCAGCTTTCATTCTAGATTTACATTTCCTTTAGGTCAAGTGCTGTAGAGCAGTTGCTGGATCACAATTACCGAATTCATTGTTCCTTACATAATGCAGTAAGTTCCTTTTTAATACATTAAATATTAAGCCTGTGTGTTGTGACCTAAATTCCAATACTATAAGAATAAAAAAATCACAGTGGAAAGGCTCAACATGCAAAAGCATGTCTGAGACGGCTTTGGGAAGGGAGGAATTTAACTTTTTTTTCTTAAAGAAAAATCTGAAACTGTTACTAAATTGAAAAAATTGAGCCCTCAGTACAAAAAAGACATGGAGATTTTGGAAAGGGTCCAGAGGAGGGCCACGAAGATGATCAGGGGGCTGGAGCACCTCCCCTATGAGGACAGGCTGAGGGAGTTGGGTTTGTTCAGCCTGGAGAAGAGAAGGTTGCGGGGCAACCTCATTGCAGCCTTTCAATATCTGAAGGGAACTTACTCCCAGGAGGGGAGTAAACTCTTCATAAGGGCTGATAATAGCAGGACACGGGGAAATGGTTTTAAGTTAAAAGAGGGAAGATTTAGGTTGGATGTTAGGGGGAAGTTTTTTACTAGGAGGGTGGTTAGGTCCTGGAACAGGCTGCCCAGGGATGTTGTGGATGCCCCGTCCTTGGAGGTGTTCAAGACCAGGTTGGACGAGGCTCTGGGCAACCTGATCTAGTAAAGGTGTATGTTTGGTGGCCCTGCTAGGCAGGGGGGTTGGAACTACATGATCCTTGAGGTCCCCTCCAACCCAGGTCATTCTGTGATTCTGTGATTCTGTGTGAAAAAAAATTAAATCTGAGGACATTGTTAATACAGAGGTTGTACATGTCTCAAGGAGTGACCTCACAGCCTGCTAAGAAAACTTGGTCAGATTAGCAGTACTGTTAGTGATTCGCTTATGAGCTAAGGTATAATTTCAGACACAAGAATACAGTAATCCATAGGGGAAAAAAAATACAGCTTACATTGCTTAAGAGAAGTCTTCTAAAAGCAGGGAAATAATAAGATAATTAATATTTTTCTGTACTTTGACTAGAAAAGTAATTTCAATCCTATTTTCCATTGACAGGAAATACCTGAAAATTTCAAAATTTCAGAGAAAATACAGACAGTCCTAGAAGATACAGGTTACTCTGAAAAACGAGCCCGCTCCATGGATATAGATGATTTCATTCGGTAATTCTTTTATGTCTTCCTTTTGAGCTTTTTCAAATTCCACCTGCTTCTATACCATGCTGAATAGATTAATATTGAGTCACATAGGAAAAGTAGTGTCCCTGCATTTCACTGAATGCCAAACACTCTTTTCTTTCCAATCTGAATATGAAGCACTTAAACTCTATATGTATATTAACTGCTGTTTACAGTACTTGTAAGCAACTAGGTAAAGATCCCTATTCCTGTAATGTCTGTGCTGAGCACTTCTACATCTCTTCTAAAAACGTCTCTAGTAACATAATTGCCTAATGTCATTTTTCTGCAGGCTTGCACAGCCTTTACTTATTTTCAGGATCAGGCCTTAATCTATACCATAATTTGGAGATATTTGTAATTTCCTACTATATTGTGCTCTGGCTTCTGGCTATTAACTTTAAGTTGGAACAGGAATTATCTAAAATTCCTGCTTGTTTGTTAGTGTTACAGTCAATGCTGTTTCTGCTCTTTACAGAGATGTAGCAAACCTAGTAGGATGCAATGTAAATAACTGCACTGGAAATGTACCTGTATCTCTAAAGTGCCAAACTTAGTAGTAACTTCCAATATAAGCTGTGTAACAATTCTTTTTTGTATTTAATTATGGATGCTTTTGTGCTGTCTTGAATGTTTGCCAGTAAGCATGTCTTAGAAATGACTTAATCTACTGTATAAATTAGTAGAAATTTTGACATGAATATTTCACTTTTTTCAGACTCTTGCATGGCTTCAACTCAGAAGGCATCCATTTCTCATAGACTTTACCAGAAGAGTGAAAGATCTACTGTACTTACTTCTGTAAGCCTTACCTAATCCCACGTGACTGAAAAGGGAGAAGCTCTTCTCACAAAAGCAGCAGAATATAGCATTCACATTTTGGTTCCTATTAAGAATAAGATGTGCTATTTTATCACAGACAAGAGAAGATACTACTCCATATTTTAAAAGCATTCAGTTCGTTCATGGCTGAAGTGCTGGACTTCCACACAAAACTGTATTTTTCAGTATACTCAAAGACACGGAGATTGATACTGCCATAACTGAAATCTGTATTCACTGATCATGAACTTCATCTCAGTATCTTCCTACAATATGGTATAATCTGATCCGGCAACAAAAATGGATTTGTAGTATTTCCAGTTAAATGCTTCCTTTTGATTTGAAATGACCACGTCTTCCATTTGTCCTCCAGGAGCCAATGGCATTCCAAGGATTAAGGAAATCCTACTGAGTGTATTTCAGAAACAAGAGCATTTGTCTTATGGGCTTTGTATGAGTTATGAAAACATCATACAACATACATGAGGCACCTAATGTCGATGATTGTTTCCTTTACCACCTGTCTTAGTGCTTTTGAACCTTTGTAGGAATTGGCAGAAAATTACCAGCTGACCGGCAGTCTTAATATATGACCAGAATCTACAGATTTTTGTTTTAGTCAACTGTCTTGTGGGATAGATGAGTGGACAGTGAGGTGGGTTGAGAACTGGCTGACTGGCAGAGCACAGAGGGTCATCATTGGCGGTGCAGAGTCCGGTTGGAGACCTGTAACCAGCGGTGTTCCTCAGGGTCGGTGCTGGGTCCGGTCTTGTTCAGCATCTTCATCAGTGACCTTGATGAGGGGATAGTGGCCACCCTCAGCAAGTTTGCTGATGATACGAAGTTGGACACACCTGAAGGCTGTGCTGCTATTCAGCAAGACCTGGACAGGCTGGAGAGCTGGGCAGTAAGAAACCAGATGAGGTTTAACAATAAGTGTAGAGTCTTGCATCTGGGGAGGAATAATTGCATGCATCGGTACAGGTTGGGGATGACCTGCTGGAGAGGAGCTCTGCAGACAGGGACCTGGGTGTCCTGGTGGATGACAGGTTGGCCATGAGCCGGCAGTGTGCCCTTGTGGCCAAGAGGGCCAACAGCATTCTGGGGTGCATTAAAAAGAGCGTGGCCAGCAGGTCGAGGGAGGTGATCCTCCCCCTCTACTCTGCCCTGGTAAGGCCTCATCTGGTGTACTGTGTCCAGTTCTGGGCTCCCCAGTACAAAAAAGACAGGGGCCTCTTGGAAAGAGTCCAGCGGAGAGCTACAAAGATGGTGAAGGGCCTGGAGAGTCTCCCCTAAGAAGAAAGGCTGAGTGAGCTGGGTCTGTTTAGTCTTGAGAAAAGAAGACTGAGAGGGGATCTGATCCAGGTCTATAAATATCTAAGGTGTGGGGGGCAGAGTAGCGAGGCCAGACTGTTTTCAGCAGTGTGTGGAGACAGGACAAGGGGAAATGGCCAGAAGCTGGAGCATAGGAAGTTCTGCACCAATGTGCGCAAGAACTTCTTTACGGTGAGGTGACGGAGCACTGGAACAGGCTGCCCAGGGAGGTTGTGGAGTCTCCTTCTCTGGAGATATTCAAGACCCGTCTGGACACCTTCTTATGCAACCTGGTGTAGGGAACCTGCTTTGGCAGGGGGGTTGGACTCGATGATCTCTGGAGGTCCCTTCCAATCCCTACAATTTTGTGATTCAGTAAAGTCAGGAAGCTACTTTTGTAAGAAAACAGGGAGTTTTAACACTTTTCATTGAGCCTCAAAGTGATGACTTGCATGTCCTGACTGAGTGAAGACTTACTTAGTGTTTTGATTACATGTCTGTTGTTATGGACAAGGCATACTTTTCCCCAAGAAGCTTGCATTAACTCTACACAGCAGCCATTATCCACTTTGATCTGTCTTAAGATTCAGGAAAATGGTATTTATTATAGTGCTGTGGCATTGTGCAGAGCTGAGAGCATAACTAACTCTATTAACTAACATTAGTCATTTGTTTTGTGTGGTATCTCATCTTCTATAAGACCACAGTAAATGGAGAAGAAAGATAACCAAAAAGTACTTCAAAATTCACCTTCATTTTACAGAGTTCTAAAAATCAGTGATTCAGGTACATGCATATGAGGAAGGAATGTTTCAGAAAACTGAATTATTTGTTTTCTAACTTAACAATTCTAGCTACATGTTTCTACATGGTTATGTAGCAAAAGCAATGTGCACAGACAACACAGAAGGAACAAATGTTTCTCTGGTGCATTGTGTTGCTCTACACAAGAAATAGAATAGGATTGTCTTAGTCAAGTACTGCCCACCCATCATAGCAGTGGGCCATGTCATTCACTGCTGTGTCACATCAGTTGCTTATATTTGTTCATACTCCTTCAGTTTTGGTGTAGATCCAGTAAGTACAGCAGGATATATCACACAGTCTCTTAATGGATACTAGATGCAATTTCAGCTTGGTACCAGTATCTGGTACAGGCCATGTTACTCACAAGGATCAGTGAAAATAGGTGGAATTTAATTGCCTCTTTTCTGCATGTCTTCTTTGGTACCCACTGTGATCTACAGCCTGGCTGTGTCTCTAGGTTTGTAGAGAGGAATAGTAGGGAAGCAACTGTTTCTCACGCAGGATGTCTGAACCGGAGGTGAAGTGTTAGTGGACCTAGTGCTCAGCAACTTGAAGTAGATAATTAAAAAAGTTAAGTTTGGAGACAGTCCGGGCTGTAACAACCGTGTCCTGACACAGTTTGTGATCTTGAGGAATATGGGCCTGGCAAAGAGCAGAGTCAGGATCCTGAACTTGAGGAAGTGAACTTCCAGCTTTCTAAGGAGTTAGTGGGTGAAATGCCCTGGGAAACAACTCTGCTTAGGAGTATAGGAATGGAGCAGAGCTGGCAGCTGTTTAAGGACATCTTTCTGAAAGTGTGGGAGCTCTCCGTTTCCCAGGATTGAAATCAAGCAGAGGAGGAAGAAATGCATCAGCTGCTTGGACTTTTGTAAGACCTTTGACATAATCCCACACCACTGAATACAGGCCTAGGGCCCCAAACACAACGTGTAGAGCTGCTGGAGTGTGTCCAGAGGAGGGCCACAAAGTTCAGAGGGCTACAGCACCTCTCCTATGAAGACAGGCTGAGGAAGCTAGCTCTCCTTGCTCAGCCTGGAGAAGAGAAGGCTGGGGGGAGACAATCACAGCCTGCCTGTACTTGAGAGGAGCTTATGAAAAGACTTTTTATGCAGGCAGATGGTGATAGTTAAGGTGAATGGATTTAAACAACAAAAAAAAAAGTTTAGATTAGATGCCAGGAAGAAATTCTTTACTCAGAGGGCAGTGAGGCAGTGGAACAGCTGCCCAGAGAAACTGTGGATGCTCCATCCCTGGAGGCATTCAAGGAAGCTACAAATAAAATATATTATTTGTACATCAATAATGGAGTATTTTAAAATATTTCTTACCAAAACATAAAGTGAGCAGTAACAACATAAAAATAGTGAGATATGTGACCCTGTTTTTGTGAAAAACATATCACACTAATTCATTGGCTATGGCTGCAATTCTTTGTGAGCTCTCAAGGCATTTATCAGAGTTTTGTGATGAAATTTTACTCTTCCCATGCTTTGTCCTTGAAAAGAGTTTTTCACAAATCTAAGTACTGCCAAAAATGTCAACATGAATGAGGCATGACTGTGAAGCAGGGGATATTTATCTCTGCTAAGATAAGGCTTATAGAAGTCTGGTAAAGAGACAGTTGGATTTTTGAGTTGAACACTGGATTGCAACTGCTTGCTGCTTTTTTTTTTTTTTTTTTGCTGTTGACAGTATTGCATTCAGCCAGTGTACCAAAATGCACATTACTTGCTGTTGTGCACAGACTTTAGTTGGTGCTGCACTGCACCGCACGCCCTGGTTTCAGCCCAGACAGTGCTGACTGCACAACACTGGTTGCTGTGGGAGGTGGGACCACTTGGCAGGGCAGAGCTGCTGCCACAATAGCACTGGGCAGGAGCTGGGCCAGAGATTGGACATACCTGCAGTAACCTGTACTGCCACCCATTAACAAAAGCTACCTGCCTTATCTTTTTTCCACTATTCTTTTGACTGTGATGAATGATGTTCTCAACTAAATTCTCAAAAAATGTGTGATGTCTCTTTAAGGTCTCTGCAGGATGCAAATTGCTATTGAGTGCTCTGAGGACTTTCTTCCCATGTTACAAATTTGCACAGAATGTTACTTTCTAGAATTTAAAATCCACTCAAAAATATCAAGAGGCCTTTTCAAAAGTACAGCAACTCACATATTGACAAAGTACCACCCTCCCAAAACAGAACTTTGATAGAATTCTCATTTGTAGTTCATGTAATAGCTTAATTTATTAAACACATTATGTAAAATCTACATTGTTTTTTTCAGTTTTCATGTTTACACACAAGAGGTTTTTTTGATTCTTTTAACCATGATGCGACAAGAGCTTCCCATAGCCTACCTTCCTATGGGAGATACAAACATTAAACACTACAAGAATTCCTGGCTCATTTAACTCTCTTTTCATTGCCTTCCCTTTATTTCCCTCTAGGCCTTACACAAGCAAACAGGCTTGTATTCCAAAAGTAACGTTTCAGCAGTTCCCAGGGAAAGTCTGCTGATAGAAACTCCTGGACATAGGGAGAACTCCCAGAGAGGTCTATAACTCTTCATTTGATGAGAAGTTCTTACATGAAAGGTCAATCTCTTTTGGATACACAAAAGTAACTTGAGTGCCACCAACCAAGAAGTGCTGATACACATGGCGCCATTTGTGAGAATTTAGTTACTTGAGGAATTCCTGTTAGCACTAGGTAGAGGTATTGTGCAAATCCTTAAATGATGCAATTTCACACCACTTTTCAGCTGCTGGCACTGCATACAAAGGGAAAAATAGGTATTAGCTACTATTTTTAAAGCAACAGAGCTACTCAAACTACCTGCAAACTACAGTTAATGTACATGTAAATCTGTCATGCATCAAAAGCCAATTTAACAGTATGTGAAAGGCCAGTATATTTAGCTAGATCCCCAAAATGTATTTATTTAGCTAGATCCCCAAACTTTGACAGTTATCCTAGCCATACACAGAGGTAAGATTGTACCTTTATTCTGACAGCATTATCACACCATACCACATGCTGCATATCTGCATTATCCTAAGATACAACTCTCCTCGGTACTTAGACATTACCCTTTATTATACATCAACTAATTTATATTTTTTGTTTTTGTTTTTTTTTTTCTTTTTTTTTTTTCTTTTTTTTAACTGAGAAAAGTGTTATATAACCATTCTTCATGGTTTTCAAATAAATCTAGAATCCATATTTTTACAAGGAGGATGGAATGTCCAGCTGTTCATCCACTCTAACAGCTCTTGCAGTTCCTGTTTAAATGATATGGCACATTCTGTGAAATGAATGAACTACTCACCAAAAAAAAAGTTTCAAAAGACATTAAAAATGTACATACGCTAAAAGTAATTTATATTGACAAAATTAGGAATGTTGCTTAAAGCTGTGCTTCAGAAGGAGGATGTTTAGGGTTAAGTAGCCTTCATCAAGGCACAGAACAGGAAATGGTAAGCACAGCTATCTGTAGAAGAGAAGTTATGTACAACCACTAGTGAGGTGAGCATGCAAGCAAACACAATTTAAAACTGCACAGCTGATCTCTGTAACAAACCTGAACATAGTAATATGGAAATACTGTGATTTTTTTTAATAGCCACAGTTTTACTTCATTGTTAAAAACATGGCAAATATTTCCAAACATAAAATTCACAATTTGAATAAATGAAATATTTTAAAACAAAGTGCTTCACAGATCTAAACCCTGCATGGTTGTGCTGTCTGGTCTAGAAGCATTTTGTAGACATCATAGGAGCATTTCACACAAAATCGAAAATGTCACTCAGGCGAATAAGAAACAGGACATTTCCACAGACATTTCTAACGTTTTTACACTTTCAAGTAGTTGAGTTCTTAGGGCCACTGGGTTTCGTAACAAATGTGTGCTACAGCAGTACGGGTTCATGGGTTCCTTTAGCAGCAAAGGCCCCTTTCAAACGGCACGTGGTCTTTTTGGGTTGATCTGTTTACTGGCCTGTTCCTCCTCTTGAAGAGCTGCTCGGAAAGATTTCACTTTATCTATAATGAAAAAAAGAGAATGAGTACCGATATGCCTATGCCCAATACAGATCCTGAAACTACTTTTTTTTTTTTTGCATCTCCTTTGCATTTTCTTTTTCATCCCTTTAACATTTTGGAATAAAGGAAAAAGAAATGGAAGTTGCAGAAACAAGTTCATACTTCCTGGAGGTGTGACAGAGACTATTCTTCCAAACCAGAATGACTGGATGTCATGGTTTTGTGATTTTTGGTTTTCGGTATTCCACATCATAACATCATGTGGGGCACTGGGAGTTTAACTGTTAATGCTCAAGCTCTGGGTACCTGCCTGGAAGAGAAGAACAACTACATTCCCCAGGGAACTGGGCCAAACCAGCCCGTAAACCGTTGACACTGGAATATAGATGTGAACTTTTTCCTAGGCAGCAGAACAATCACTACTTCTACATTACATGACAGTGTAAGAGGAAAATATCCCAAAATAAGCCCACACTACACATTACTAATAAAGAAAAGCGATTAAAAGCAATCTACCTCTAAGTTCAGTCAGAATATCAATCTTTTGATCCAGAATTGCTTCAAGTTGGGTAGCGTAAGAATCCACATCATAGTCTACTTCTTCAGTCATCTCAAGAAGTGCTTTTTCATCTTCCAGCCATCTAATAGATTCCTAGATAACAGTTATAAAAAAACAAGATAGCAAAGCAAAAAAACATTAGCAAAGGTACAGGTTTTAAGATGAAGAGATGAATTACTACTTATACTCAACATGACTGTATTTCCTACTGCTTAATTATCTCACTCCAACAAATTTCTGTCTTAAAATGAATCCATATTTTCAGTTCAGAAAAACTACATGTGTGCTTCTTCGTTCCAATAGCCATAACATCAACCTTGTTACATGATTCTACATTCACACTTCAGTTTCAATTATGGGGTATTTGCCACTGTCTATGATGACAGCATTGTTAGAATCACAGAATCCTTAGAAACGGAAAAAATCATTAAAGGTCATCTAGTCCAACTCTCCTGCAATGAACAGGGACAATCCTGAGGTTGCCCAGGGCCCAATCCAGCCTAACCATGAAAGTCTAAGGGAATGGGCACCCACTACACTTCTGAGCAACCTGTCACCACGCTCACTGTACAGATTTTTTCCTTATATCCAACTTAAATTTTCCCCCTTTTAAGCTTGAAACCGTTTCCCTTTGTTCTATCACCACAGACTCGGCTAAAGAGTCTGTCCCCTTCTTTCCTGCAGCTCCCCTTCAAATACTGCTAATAACTAACTGCTATGAGGTCAACTCAGAGCCTTCTCTTCTCCAGACTGAACAGTCCCAGTTCTCTCAGTCTCTCCTTGTAGGATAGGTGTTCCATCCCTTGGATCATTTTTGTGGCCCTCCTCTGGACACATTTCAACAGGTTCACGTCTCTGTACTCCACATCTGGATGCAGTACTCCAGGTGAGGCCTCACCAGAGCAGAGGGTCAGGATCACCTCCTTCGACCTGCTGGCCATGCTTCTTTTGTACAGCACATGATTGGCTTTCTAGGCTGAGAGAGCACATTGTTGGCTCGTGTACAGCTTGCTGTCCACCAGTATTCCCAGGTCTTTTCTGGCAGGGCTGCGCTCAATCCTTTCACCCCTCAGCTTGTATATAGTAGAGGTTACCTCCACCCAGGTGCAAGACTTCGCATTTGGCTTTGTTGAACCTCATAATGTTGACCTGGGCCCACTGCTCAAGCCTGTCTAGGTTGCTCTGGATGGCATCCCATCTCTCTGGTGTGTTGACTGCACTCCACAGCTTGGTGTCATCAGCAAACTTGCTGAGGGTACACTCAACCCCATTGTCAGTGTCACTGATGAAGATGTTAAAGAGTATGAGTACCAGCACTGACCCCTGGGGGACACCACTTGACACCTGTCTCCATCCAGACATGGAGCTACTGACTCGATCCTGTAGCCAGTTCTTCATCCATTGAACAGTCCACCCTCAAATCCTTATCTTTCCGATTTAAGAGAAAAGAATGTTGTGGGATACCATGTCAAACTTCATACAGATGACATCAGTGGCTCTTCTCTTGTCCACTGATGCAGTGATATCAACATAAATGGCCACTAATTGCGTCAAGCAGGACTTGCCCTTGGTGAAGCCATGCTAGTTCTCCGATACACCTCTCTGCCAGAAGAAACTCACATTTCTTGCTGAAAAATAGCTATTTGAACTTACTATTACAATTCATTTTCTGACTGTAAAAGGATTTATGATCACTGTGTTGGAGTATTCCTTTCAAAGACCCTGACTATTTGCAAGTGAAAACTTCTACGTATTTGTGAACAGGAAGTAAACAGGCAGTTATAAAAATACTGGTCTGTTCAGGATCTCAGTATCTTAAAGGAAGATATCAACAGAAGGATACTTGAAGGCAGTATTCTGAGGGATGCTCCAAAAGTAACACCTGCTATTTTATTATGTTGGCCCATGATGTCAGAGGTGGATGTTTGTGGCATGACAGTTAAGCTGAATCTTCCACCAGTATTTGTTGGCAGCATGAGGGGCAGTCTGACAGAATGACATAATCATAGCATCATAAAATGTCTTATGTTGGAGGAGACCGTAAGAATTAATCGGTTCCAACCCTCCCCTACCATGGGCAGGATTGGAGCATGGATAAAGCAGAAGTGTGTGCCACTGAATTCCCCCGAATATGAAAAAATGGCACTCATTGGTATTCACTGATGTTTTGCTGAACATTGCTGGAGACAAGCAGTGGTGACAACAATGTTGCAAAGCCATGCTCCAAGCAGCCATGCAGGTGCCAAATGCAGACAAGCACAGCATGCAGGCTCTTGTTTACTGCTGACAAAAATACGTAGCTAATGGTTGTGACTATGTTGAAAAATAATGTTATATAGTCTACTTAGGAATGTGTCTGAGAAGCAAAATTTTAATACATTTTCTGAGATGAAAGAGAAGCATACATTTCTGTCATCCCAGAAATGTATTAAAATTTTGCTTCTCAGTCACATTCCTAAGTAGACTGTCCTACTTGCTCACTACAATGGGCTTCATGTAATAAAAAATTACAAAATCTTTGGTGCAGAGTAATGACTAGACTATATCTTGCATTATACATGGGATATGCTCTTTTGACTGGTAAAATCCAAATTTTTAGATTAGGATAAAATGAAACAGAGCTCTGTGCTTTACCTGGAAGACAGTCCTGTGGTCTTCTACTACTTGCTCTTCCATTTCCACCATTTGTGACACAGCTTCATGGAAAGTAAACAACTGTGGAGAAACTTCCTCTTCCTAAAAACAATTAAAATCATCAGCCTGGAAAGAAATGTGGCTACAGAAAATACACTGAATATGTTCCATTACGTCATGCAGAATGAAAAGAAATATCAAAAAGTAGAGCTTGTCACATAGAATTTTATACTTTTTACATGAAATTCCCTAAAAATAAGGGGAGAGGGTAATAAAATTGAAATGTCAACTGATTTATATTTAATTCACATTCATTAAACGTTTCTGGTCACTTATCCTTGTGAGTACTAGAAAACACGTTAGAAGAACAAGTTAAAATAGTTAAAATAGTGCGAAAAATGGTAATTTCTAGCAGGTTTCAATACCTAATGAAAACGAGATTTTCTACCAAGGCCTTTGCCACAGATACCACAACAGACAGGAAATAAGTAGGTAAAAATAAAAAAAAAAAAGAATAAATCCAATACATTTCAAGTAATTGGGATTAAGTTCATTCTCAGGGTGAAAAAAAAGGAATAAACATGAAGAAAAAAATCTATAAAATATAAAGCAGTTAATACATTAGGAGAATGCATAGCACAGATTTATAAACTAGGGCAGACAGGATTTCTGCAGACAGCAGTAGTTAACAATCAAAGACGAAAGCAGTAGGTAGGTTGCAATTAATTTTTTAGCAAGACAGTATGGCTTTTTATACCATGCCTTTGAAGTCTGTATAAAAATATATAGCAAAACTGAATTTCACGTGAACAATGAAAAAGTATGATGCGAAACAATGTCTGACAGTTCAGTGGTAGATTTCAGAAATCAATGAGTTAAAATGAGATAAATATGCCAAAGACCGCAGAGCAAGTGTCTGAGAAACACTGATTTTTTTTTTTTTCTATCGTTCAGCAGTATTTTTACAGATTGAGTTTTAATCTCTGTTGAACATTTAAGGAATCCAAACAAGAGCTGAAAATCAGCAGTGAAAGAAAAACATCCTTGAGAAGACAGTCTCCTGCTCATTCAGCCCAGGAAGACATTTCAGGAATGTGGTACAGCTTTCCCACACCGGAAACAGGGGTTTCTCACCATGAAAATCAAGTTCTTTAGAACAGGAATGATGATTCCTACATGCAAAGAAAGGTATACTAACTTAAAATAAGTGCTGCATGCCTGAAAAATAATGCTCAAAGCCACAAGTGTTTTAAATAAAAGGGATTAGTTTCCCAGGATACAGTTAACTGCCAAATATGAGGTGAAGCTACAGTGGAAAAAATGCACACCAAATAACTGTCAGAACCTAGAGCAGGCACTGTGAAGACATTCAAAGTTCTAATCATCAAGGAAGGTAAAGAAAAATAAAGCATTCTCCCTTCACTCAGCCTTCCAAAAACTTTTTAAATTCTCTATGGGAATGAACTATAAAATGAGAAGATGAAGATGTATGCTAGCTACTTAATTGCTAACAGGCTACAAATACATATTACTCTGGATTTGCATTTGGATTGTATTTACAATCTTCTCTTTACACATAATGCTATAAACCACTTACATTTTGTTCACAAAGCAGTTTAAGATCATCTCTCTGAGGAGAGCTGCCCACTCCCCACTGAGTATCCAAGTCATCAATCTGACTGGGAGCATGGTGTATAATGGGACGGATATCCCCTGCAGCACTTGGATCAATGGTTAGCTCTTTCACTCTACAATTAGAGAATATTTCATTTTCAAATTAGTAACTTAATATGCAAAGTAGCCATCGCCACTAAAAATAAAGCTCTATGGGTTTATATGCAATTTAATTCATTTACTATGGATGATGATGTCACCTTCACAAATTTAATGTGCCATAAATGTATTACTTCCAAAAAAAAAGTATCATTCAGTTTTAGTTACACATAGATTAAAGTCCATGTTTCAGCAAGTCATTTTTTCACTGAAATATTACTCCCCATCAAAATGCTAGGAGGGCATAAATTTTCAAATTCTCAACATCAACTCCTTAACAATAAAAACAAATGATAGAAAAGTTCATTCGATACTCAAAGCCTGACATGTTTCTTTTTCTGTGCATATTAATATGCTTTAAAAAAAAAAAATCTTTCAGTACTCATGAGCTGTTATAAGCAAATCCACCAAAATTCTGAAGAAAATCATTATTTGCAACCAAGTATCCCAGAGAATAAATATATCCTCTGATTAAAATAACTTCAGAAATATATTAATTATTCTATACAAAGACTTCTTAGATTTGGTCCACTAAATATACAAAGGTGACATCTCCATTTTATTATTTTTTTTAAATGCATGAAGGAAAATAGCAAGCCTGGATAAAAAGGGTGGATGTTTAAGGAGGATGAACAGAATACTGGGAAGATGATTGCAGATCATGCAGAACCATCACCTGCCAAACAAAATAAAAATGAAAAGTATACGTGACTCAAGGCAAGGGGACAAATGAAAATTTGGTCTGTAAAATTACATAGCCAAAACGAAAACTTAAAAATAAAGATTCCATGTATAGAATGAAGTAGACCTGGTGATTGAAGGAGAAAAGTCGTCATACTCATAGGAAGGAGAGAGATCAGAGCGACTGCCACTACCCTGTGAGAAGGGAATGTCCGAAGGACTAATTCCAAATTCCTTTACTCTGCAGCAGCAAAATACAGCAGCAAATTAAGAGAAAATGTTCTTGTAAACACAGTTAAAACAACAACTCTTTGTTTAATATTTTTCTTCAGTAGCTTAACAACATAAAAAGGGAGTTTTAAATTAAAACACTTCTGCTAATCTGCAGGAGACTACAAATGCAATGTTTTCAAAAGAGTAATTCTGGATTTCACCTGTGCTGTTAATAAAATTTCCTTTACATTCAAGATTCTATCAAATTGCTCCGTTTAAAGTATCACACCAGTACAGCTACAACACTTTCTGGCTTTCCCACTTTCTTACACTGCATACTCGCTGGTGTTCAGCACTTATAAATTACTAGTATTATGAAAATGATACATTGCTAGAAGAAAAAAAGCTTTGAAAAAACAGAAAACATGAGGCAAATTTACAGTGGTAAGCATTTACCCTCTCTCAATATACAAATGTGACACCAAGAGGAAGAAAGTTTCACTGCAATTACTTCATATACTAGAAATTGGTGTTTAATGTTTTTGTAGTGCTTTTTTTTCCCCCCCTCTGGTATCAATTCAACATATGCTATATGGGACAGGAAAATCCAATGAGTCTTGATCAACATGAAATTCCCTCCTTTACATAACTTTAAGAGACTTCACAAGCAATGAAATCAAATGTGAATTTGAGCCAGACAGATCTGCTACTAATTCCCTTGCTCCAGGCACTACCTCAGATTATAAGAGGAGTCAGTGGTAAGCTTCTACACCACTCTTTTTGCTCATTAGTGGCCAGCCAGGGCTGCACAAGAAGACAGACATGGTTCTGCTCTTATCTTTTCATTCAGGCAAGAAAAGCTAATTCCAGGCCACTAGATGGTAGCCTATTTTGTAAAAAAGAACAGAATTTCTAACAGCCCATATGTAGCTTGCCTCCTTTGTTCTTGGCAATTTCTAGGTCTGGCTGGAAAACTCTAGGAGATCTGAATGCAACACACACAAGAGAAAAAGAGAACGACAGCTGAGAAAGGCTCCTTCTAAAATTACTGAAGAGAAGCTAATGTTTTCATAGAGTAGCAGCAGCAAATCCAGAGGTGCTGACAGTCTCTGAAGGTGATAGTTTCTCTACACTGATGATATAATCGCTGTAGGATTAACTAGGTCTTTCCCTGTTTATCTCAGATATTTGCCTACAGTTCAGAAGTACAAAATCATGACGAGAGCAAAAGCAGAATTTTTAAATGAATAATCTAGCTGAAGATACATCAAATAGGCTTGTAACACCTCAAAATTACAAAAAGATGGAAAAAACATAGTACAGAAATGTATCCCTGCCAGCACTCCAGAGAATCATTATGAATAACAAGTACACAACAACCCCCTAAAGCAAGAGGAGATGTCTTCATAAAAGGGGCAAAAATAGCAGCATCTTCTATACTCCTTGCATTCCACACTACACTTATCTCTGGAAAATTGCTTAAATGCAGTTTCTACTGGTTTTTTCTGTTATGGCTGCAAAAAGTGACTAACTGAATTAAATGTGAGCCTGAAACATTATTTTGTTTTTAATCTTATTATCAAATGCAAACACTCAAAAATATTCAGAGAGCTAAAACAATTCTACATCACGGAAAACAGAATTCCAAACTTCAGTAATCAATAGCATGTATTTAATAACATTTTCCATACCTATTTGCGTATCTCAAAGTATTAAGAGTGTTTTCACATGATGCCATCCCCGGAGAAATTGTCGCAATCTGCAGAAAACATGCCAAATGTTAATAGGTTGTTTTGCACAGATGAAAGGCTAGATGAATTCAAATTAACTTTTCTTCTCCCCCTAGAGTCCTCAGTTTCATGCGAGGTCCTCTACAAGAACAAATGTCATTGTATTAAGGCAGCTATATATAGTAAACATCTCAAGAACAGATACATGAAGTTGAACCATCAGATCAGCTTTTGTGTAACTGTAACCTGAAACATTAGGAATCCATACAAACTTCAATTTCCCTCATCTGGCAGCTTTTACACAACTTGTAAATGCAAAACTCAAACTGAAAAAGTAAGAATTCTCAAAAAGAGAAATATACCATTCAGTAAAAAATAAAGTCTAATGTATCCTCCATACTACCACTACCATTTTGCTTGTTTTGTTTTTTTGTTTGTTGTTAAGTTTTTCCTTAAGTATGCATTTTCAAAGACTGTTCTACATTCAACAGACAGTATACTGACTTGGAAGATGTTTTGGCTATTGTCCAAAATGGTACTGAAACATATGTTTAGTATCTTTACGTATTTTCCTTAAGCATTTTCTTTTTCTGAACTGAAAATTATCCGTAAATAATACTTGATATCTAACTTATCACATATATTTGGAACCTCTAGGATTTTCCTCTTCTGGTTAAATAACATGCCCAGAATATCTCACCTTCTTTTCAGCACTCAGCAAAAGTAACAATCAGACAACAGTGGCATCGCTATTTGTCCTAGCTTCTCTCAGCACTCCAATTATTTTTTTTTTTTATTTCTACTCCTTTCAGGATAGCCATAAAGGCACTAACCAGGATAAACACCTCTACAATTCTACACAATAAATTTTCCGCTGGCAGCACAGCATCATGAGACTAAAACTGGTGAAGAATAGATAATCCTAGTCTTCTGCTTTATCCTGCTGCTGACATTAATGTGCAAATAATTCCTGGGAGGAATTTCTTCTACTGGGGAGAAAGGAAAGTTATGCAGTGGGAGGAAGTAAGAAAATCTAAAGAGCTATACACACATAAGTCTTTAATGCTGATAAACATAGTAAAGCATCATAGGTGCTAATTAACAAAATCTCAAAGCTCCTAAAATCCTTCCAAAACCATATTATGAGAAAGGTACATGCATCACTTCCATCAGTTTAATGTTCAGAGTACATCACACATGGCAACTACTGCAATGCCAGGAGACTGCTCAAGCTCTTCAAGCACATATGAACAGCTGCTATAGGCAAGTGTCACTGCAAGTGTTGATACAGCTTTCAGGGAGCAAGACTCAGTCTACTGAACAGAAACGCTCGCTAAATCACATATTCTTATGCCCCAACAAGCCTCGTCTGGGAAGTGAGCCCTCCAGTCACTTCCTCATACATAATTCCAGCCAAGGAAGATGGAAAAGGCTGCACTATATATACACATATACACAGGAATATCTTTAAAACGGTAACATGATTCTTCCTATCTTTAATCTACACTGCTTTAAACCATCAAAGAGGAATTGATGTCCCTTTCAGAACACTTAAGTACCCAAGTTTCTACTCCCAGTCCGAAGGATAAAGGGGCCTTAATCTTCAGCAATGACTGCAGCACATCCAGGATGCAGAACTGACTGAAAGGACTATTCTATGTAGCTACCTCGTGAATTTCAGACAATAATACAATATCCTACAGTGTAACTGCAGCAACATTCAAGACAAAATATTTATGCTGACTTCATGTTTCTGATAGTTTGAGATACAACTGTAGTTGTGCAATTAATAAAAACAACTCACATTTCCACTCATTTTCATGGGGGAGTTCTTTTCCTTAATGAAGAATGTATCAAACATAAAATAAAGGAATATGATCTATATCAGATATATCAAGTGTTAAAAACTCTTAGATCATGGATTATTTTTGATGATTATTGATTGTTGTGTATTTGAACAGGAAAAAAAATTATGGCACCTTTAACAAAAGCATAATAAATAAAAAGGCTACAGCAAAACAGAGACATCTTGTAAGCACTTCTAAGAATGTTAAGGGTGTTGGTGAGAACTTCATGAAATACACGTAACTGTTAATCCTTCCATGTATAGAGAGTAGTTCCTAACAGCCTAACTTTCCAAATCTTCCGTGTTGTGGATATATTAGCAATGCATTGTCTTGCTTTTGTTTTCTGATTCTGAATAGGATTTGTGAAGTCATGTGACAGTGGAAAGAAAATAAACCCATGTTTTTATTAGAAAACTGAAGGACAGTAAAAGAATAATAAAAAATGCTATTTTATCACCATTTTCAGACTAGAACCATACTAAAAAGCTAAAGAAGACAAAGCTGTGCTAACACTGTGGTTTTCATGCTGTGGTCTGCAGACCTCTGTGGTGTTTAAATTGATTCCAAGAAGTCTGAAAAGTGGCCATCACAAACAAGCCTACTAGCCGCTGTTTGTTGCGGAAAGTTTGCATTTCCATCAGGGTAGAATGTTACAGAGGCACAAATAAAACCACTGAACATTAATGCCTTCATCTGTCCTTTCCACTCCCCAGCAGAATTCTGTTTTTCAGTCCAATGCAAATACACACAAAATATACAACTACTCATCCCATACAGCCCAACTATCACCACCTCCAACAGCCTAGAGCATACTCTGATGCCTGTGATACCAATTCTAAATTTACTTTCATCATTTAAAGGCCATAACTAATCACAATACTTCCAACTTACATTACCTTTTCAACATTCTGATTCAACAAACAAATATCTTAATTGTTTAAGAGTATATTAAAAAAAAGCCTCCAACAACAGCAACACCACTCTAGCTAAAACAACATTCTAGCTAGGTCCCTAGCTAGAAAAGTAGAACAAGCAGTAAGAGGAGGAACGAGTTACCTGAAATATCCCTGCTGAAAGTATCCCTCCAAATATAATATTTTATTTTCTTGATTTCTTAGGTTCATAAGATTAAATGCAACAGATTGCCAGCAACAAATGACAAGTTCTAAACACAATATCTTGTATTAGTAGCTTTTCTCTATGAAATCCTTAATACATACAGTTAACTAAACAAACTTACCATACAGGTACGGGAGTTTTCTCCAATGAATGAATCTCTTAGCACCTGAGTAAGTTTACTTGCTCTGAATGGCGTATGAGGTTTATTTCGGCCTAAGGCTCTAATGCACTCCTGAAGGAACAAAGAGGTTTGTATTTATTCAACCCATGCTAAGAAAAACACATAATAAAAATGCAATTCAAAAAAATCAGTTAATACATGTTATAGTAATTTGCTGTTCTCTAAAATATCATTAAAATTTACCTTTAAAGTTTTGATTCAAGATGTGTTACAGTTTTTACCCCTCCTCAAGTTCAGTAGAGAGGCAGAAACCTAGGAACCTGAAGAATTTCCTGAACATGATCCAGAACTTCTACGTATACATATCCAACAACAACAAATACAGTCTTGCTGTTAAGCCTCCAGGCTAACAACCATATCTGACTACCACCTATAAAGTCTGAATGACCTAGAGCCTCCACCAACAGAAGTCTGCATGGCAACGCGTTAACTCTTCCCAATTAAAAGCAATAGCTACGATTCTGACTCTGCTGCTGACCTTCTTTACAGGTCAGATGAAAACAGCATATACAGCCCAAGCTGTATAAAAGTTTCCACAGGTCACAAGCATAGGAAGTATAGTTTCATACTGACCTAGTAGAAGTTAGAAGGATGCTTCAAAATATATACGATTTTCTGCTTTAAAATATTTCTCATGTGGAAAAAAACAGTCACAATGTTTTCTCTCTTACTTATAAGGGTATGAGGCTAAACAAATGTTTGCAACTTTTTGGAGAGTTCTAGTGAGAAATATGGTGCAGAAGCAAGTACTAAGAAATTACTATAAAAGTCACAGCAGCAACTATGTACAACAGTGCAAGCCACCACTGTTATAATCTAATCATCATTTCTGTCCAGAGTTCAAACACCTGCTAATAAATTACTCCTTATATAAGAAGTCCGAACTTCTTCCAAAAGAAGTTCATACTAGAAACCATGGGATAACAGTCCAAGAAAGCATTGCAACTGTGAAACAGTAAATAACAGAACTAAAAAAAAGGATTCAGTATAGTACTACCATGATGTAGGACACAATGGCAAGCCAGCTTTAACAAATAATTAAAAAAAACTCATGAGTATAATTTTATAGAATGGGCACAGCTCAGGTAAACAGAAATTGAAATCTTTTAATTATTTTGTATGTTACTACTATATTTAGATAAGGAAAAAACAGTTCAGAAAGTAACAAATATGTATGCTGAATTACTGGTACAGCAACTCACAAGTGAATTAAGCTATTATAATTAATTACAGTGATTTTCATTTAGCTTACAACTGAAAAAAAAAAAACAAAACAAAACTGTATCATCTCATTAACTATGTAGGAATTATAGCAGGACTACCCCAGCTTTTAAACTTAAATAGATAATAAATATTTATATAAATAGTTTTTAGTTCTTTCCATCATAGCTCAGAAAACCAAACAAAGAAATGACAATACTACTTCCACATAGAGACATTCAAGAAATAACCTTTTGTATCAACTCTGAACACGCTAAGACTGGATCATCGCACATGTGAACAGCAAATCTTGGATCAGCATCAAAGTTTACTCTTCAGAAAACACCAGTTTAATACGAACTTGAAAATAACTTCAAGAGTGTTGAAAAAGAATGAAATAAACTATGCAATGTTTTTGAGAGAGATGAAAAATGGAAAATTATAGTATCAAATTAAACAGTTGTCTTAACAGTGGTACAGTAAGATACTTTTGCAAGATTTTTTATTTTCCATTCTGCATATAAACTAGATTTTAATCACCAGTACAGCAGCAGCATAATTTTTCACCGTAAATAAACAGACGAATTGTATGAAAAATAATTATGTTGTATGGGTATGCTAACTAAAGCTAATTGCTTGTTTTATGCATTTCTTAAGTAAAAGGAAAACCAAACAATTTTATTCAATCACATTTGGAAAAAAAAGTTATAAAAATCAACACAGTGCTGCCTGCATTATTTATTTCAATGCTACATCAAAACAGGCTACAGTTTTGGAATTGCTGCTTCCAGTTTTTCAACATGCCACACATGCCATGTTCTGTAATGACATACTATAATTTTGTGTTTTGCAGAATTTGTTTAGAAGCAAGAACAAAACAAAAAATTTTTTTTAGTTTAGACTGAATCTCATCAGAACATTGCAAAGCAGAAGAAAAAACATATTTGAGTATTTAAACAACATTTATTGATGAGTTCTGGATTAACGTACGAAAAAATCTGTAATTGTATCACAGTTTGCTATGGAGAATAGCCAAAACACAGGTCTCACTGTTAAAGAATTAACTTAATTTGTTAATTCTTCCTGCATATACTGCTGCTGTGGTGTTTTCCTCCTCAGTGAATTAATTAACAGCAGTGAACAAATGTCATTCTATGCTTTTATCTAAAAAAATGTATAAACACAGACACACAAATATTGAGACAAGTAGGAATATTTCCAGTAACTATTTCAGAACTTAAGTGGCAAAGAAAGTTAACTCTCCTCACTTCTTCCATTATTAGACATACATTGGGAAAGTCTTCAAAATTCAAGGTAGTTTTGGTTGCTTGTTTTTGTTTTAAACTACATGAAAAGTGATAGTACAAGTTTCTGCAATGTTTCTATTTGGTAATGAACAGGTGTTCCTTCAGGCATTCAGAGGAAAAAAATCAATGCATTATTTTACCTGTCACACCAGTAGACAGAGCAGACAAGCAAAGTCTGAAAAAACACTTGTTTGAATGGTCATTTCTATTTTATGTAGAAAGCTTCCACCTACTCAAATGCAATGGAAACATTTCAGTTACCTTGAGTGCTAAAAGGCTCTTGTTAATTTCAGCTCCTTCCAGCCGCGTCTGTCTGTCTGCACTGGAAGTATCAGCTCCTCTTTCATTTCCAGCCAAATCTATCAAAGAAAATTTACCATGCAATTTTCCTTTCCTTCGGAGAATAATCTGAAACACTGCATGGCTTCGAGATGAGTGTGCATTTGCAGATGTCTGACCAGATGTCCTTTGAACAAAAGGAGAGAAGAAGGGAACATACAAAGATGTGAAGGACCATACACGTTAAACATATATGTAATACATGTAGGAGGGCTGGTCCAAAAACAATGCCTCAACTTATTCTGTTGGCCTACAATATCAGGGGCAGATGTTGGTGGTATGGCAGTAGAAGATGAACCTTTCACCAATATTCCATTAGATTTTGCTGCCATGTTACAGATAGCAGCACAGGGGCAGTCTGACAAAATGCCATATAGTACGGAAGTGCAGATGAAGCAAAGGTGTGTCATCAATTTCCTCCATGTGGAAAAAAAAGACTGACCCTTGCTGAACGTTGCTGGAGATCAGACAGCGGATGTGAGCACAGTGAGATGGTGGGTGGTACGTTTCAGCAGCGGCAACAGCAACATGAAAGACAAGCCATGTTCCAGATGGCCATGCAGATTTTTATTGAGTGCAGCCTATAGGCTCTTGTTCATCACTGGCAAAGAATGCAAAGCTAATGGTGGTGATTATGCTGGAAAACAGTGTTTTGTTGCTGAGAATTTACTCTACCAAGTAGCATTGTTAGGCTCTCTCTATCTGTTGTAGTTTCCATGGAAATAAATAAGAGGTGTTACTTTCAGAATAACCTACATGCTTTCAATGCAGAGTACTGTTTCTTCTTACCTACACTGGCAGCATGTCTAACATGCTGATAGACACTAGAGATATAATCCTAATAATCTGGTGCACATGGTACAGTTACATCTCTCTCTCCAGCTTTATAAAGAAATTGAAGATATCTGGTATTTTACCTTCATTTTAAAAGCAAGAATAAATGAGTTATTTATTCCAGACAACAAGAGAGCTTACATGTAAAATTGCTGATATCATTTTTTATCATATCAAGCAGCAGTCCATGTGAAAGACTAATTTTAAAAACAATGAAGTTACATTTTAACAAAGAAAAAAACTTTATGCTTAACCTCTGTCAGTACATATAAAAGCCTTTTAGATCTGAAGAATCTGGCAGTACTCCAGATTTCAAACAATGTGAATTTAAGTCACTAAGCTGGTTACATAAACGCAAGTACTTCATATACTGTAGAAAAGTCTGTTCTGCCATGTCTCTAAGAGGCAGAGAAACTATCTTCATACAAAAGGCAGGTAGACTTACTTTTTGCAGTCAATATTTTCAGAAAACCAACTGCCTATTAAAAAGCCATCACTATGCAGAGACAGAAAATAACAAGAGGCATTCTAATTCATTAATTTACAACGAAAAATTAGTGGAAGCTATGAAAGATACCTGCAGCTGTTGCCTATTTCAATAAGCTTAAGAACATCTTCAACACATTTGACTTCTCGTTCCTGTAATCCCACCACCTGGACTTGCTGTTTACCATCTTCTAACACTCTTAATTTTGTCTTCCTGTTCAACAAGTCAAAAACCTTATGGAAAGAGATGGAGAAAAATAGTAAGAGAGGAATTAATTTTAAAAGACATTTGTTTCAAATCCTGTAGCATAATGTTTGGAAAAGTAGTATAAATAATTATTTGAAAGAAAGTATTCAGATGATAAAATCCCAATAATTACATAACAATCTCACAATCTTGCTGTGAAGAAGTACTTCCTTACCTTACCACTGTAGATCTCAAAAAACGTTGCATATACTTGAAGTTCTAGCTTCTTATAGTTTGGTTTCTTTAGCATTAAAAAGACATCTCGAGCTGCGGATATATTCCCCAAATAAACCAAAATTTAGTTACACATTTTCATTTAACACTCGTTACTAAATAAAAGCCAGCATTTCTCATAATTTGAGAATAAAACAGATATGATAAATCAACCAAGTTTAAGTCACTACAGTTTATACTGCCAGATTACAATGGAAAATGCTGAAGGCCCCAAGTAGTAAACTCAACCATAATCTTTATTTTATTTTTGAACTCTATTTATACACTTATCTGACCATATAAAGACTACAGATCTAGGAACAAGTTCTGATGTTACCAAAGTCTCACTGCAATACAAAATACATACTCTAATGCTTGTACAAAAAACTATAGAAAATATAGGACAACAACACACTGATCTCAACTTGCTTGTGAAAAACTAACAGACCATGAAGCCTCACCTGCAAGTGCATATATTCCTTTTGAACAATCTTGGTTCTTTCCTGAAAAGTCACCACCCATAGTCTACATTAAATAAAAAATAAGAAAATCAAACACCAAAATAAACATGACAAAAATCACAGAGCTTAGATCTGTTTTTCATAGAATTTAGTGAAGTGCACTGTACATAAAAAAACAGATTATTGCTTACATATAGAAGAAATACTTACATGGGTTTTTCCACTGCCTGTTTGCCCATACGCAAAACAAGTGGCCATTCCCCTTTCAAATATGGTCTCTACTAATGGTCGAGCTGTAAACCTAGAATGAAAAACAAACAAACAAAACAAACAAAAAACAAATTAACAAAAAAACATAAGAAACAGAAATACTTTAAGATTCCACTACCACAGAGACAATATACGCTTTAAGGCAAGAAGTGACAAAACTGGTTCTGTACCTTGAGAGGCCAAAGGATGTCTCCAAATTAATTCCTGAACTAATGGAGTTCTAACATATTAAAATATCCTTCAGAACTTATACCTAAAGAACATCTCCCATTTTTTCTACAATGTTATCCTTCTTTAAACCCTCGGGGAAAAAAGAGCTTGTTTTAATAATGCAACACAAAGCTTACTGCATGGAGTTTGTAGCTCCCTAAAATTTCTGACAGAGACAGCATTAGAAGATATGTAAGTAGAAAAGTAAAACAGAAAAATACTTAGGTTTTGCCAATATAGAAAAAAAATTGAACACTTTATTTCTAAGATTTACTTATTAAGATATGTGGTCAAGACAACACTGATTCTTAATATCTTGAGAAGTTATGAAAGCTGAAGAAAAGGCCTAAGAAGAGATGTAACCAAGTTCATCACAACAGAAACAAAACACACAGTTACTGCCTCTAGCTGCTTAACACAGTTACTTCAAGAAAATCTTGAAAAAGCAAAGGATAGCCTTTAGAGTGTTACATCTACCTAATAAATAATGATAAGAGTGTTTGCAATCCACTCTAAATTTCAAGGTGTTTACACTAAGTTTAGTGACAGAAACAGGAATGATTGCTTATAGAAACACTGAGGTCTTAGGAGCTCCTTCATTCTACTTTGGAACAAACAAATAAATTACTATGAGTAAACAGGTAAGATCAACCCGTTCAGCAGACAAGCATTACAGAATCTCTAATTTTCATCAAAAACACACCTAAAGATACCTGATTAGCCTTAGTCTTATTTCCTCCAAGCATGTACTTCCTATGTCCTCAACCAGATATTTTCTTATCTGTTTCCTCTTTGTATACTCTAAATACAAATTTTAAGAAACCTATGGTTGAGTCACCATCCCCGAATGCATTTAAAAACTGTTTGGATGTGGTGCTCAGGGACATGATTTAACGGGGGGTTGTCAGAATTTGGGTAGTTTGGTTCAGTTATGGTTGGACTTGATGATCTTTAAGGTCTTTTCTAACTTGAGCAATTCTATGATTCTATCCTCCTAAGAAGCATACTCCAATATCTCTATTTAGTTGAATTTTAAATTATTTATTTTCATTTATAAAAAAAGGAAGGTTTTTTTTTTTTTAAATAAGGCAAAACACAATCATGCCTAGAAAAGATTTCATAAAGTATTATACAACTTTATAAATTACTACCAAGCCAAAAAACTTTCCCTCACCTAGAATCTCAACTTGCAATATTGATCTTACAAAAATACAAACTCTGATTCTCCTTTAAATATTCAAAATGCATACCATGCAAACAGGTAAGCATTTTTTTTTTTAAACGTTAAAGAAAAACTGCAACTCAGTTTTGTGGCTTAAGGCGTCAAAAACACTTCAAATACAGCTTACACAAAAATACTAAAAGAAGAGTAGCAGATTTCTCCCTGACAAACTGAAAAATGTTTTTCAGTATAGAAATAAAGTAATTTTAGCACCAAAGAAAACTGGAGTAACCACATCACTTTTCCTCCCCCCTATGGGAGTACACTATGATATTCTGCTCTTAAATTATGCTAGAGACCTGGAAGCAAGCTATTCTTCAAGTAGTAATCAATACCATGCTGTCTGAAGGAAAAGAAAAAAGCCTGTCCTACTACCTAGGCCAGAGACGTACCATTTCAGTATTAATACAAACATCTTTGAATATTTTCTCATAGTACCACTATTATGTAACTAATGAAAATTACTCAGAAGAAATTAGATACAAAAATATGATGATGCTATATGCCAAAAAATCTTTCACAACTGAAAAGTACACTCTCAAAGATGCATGAGGAATAACAAGAAGTATGGAAATTGAAGAACTGTTGTCAAGCAGGAGAAATACTGTTGCAAGAAACACTTTACAAACTAGGTGGCACTCCCACAGGCTTTCTGTGTCAAGAAAAGATGTCACCAAAAGACAAACATTAGTGAGAAATCTCCACACTGCGCTAATGCTACGCTAACATCCAAAAGAGCTTGCCTTTTGCTATCCTCCTCCACCTATCAAGAATAAAACAAATTTTCATTTTCAACATGTTTCAACAGATCTTTTGCTATGTACTTTTTCCTTTCCACCCACACCATAGATCATGATATCACACTAACTTTCACTTCCTGGCTGTTGGATTAAAAATAAGCACTTCTCTTTGAGGTAACGTGAAGCACTTTCCAAACATTCAGAAAGTTATCTCCACAAACGCCTTTTTAATACCAATATCCCTCACAAAAAGACTCACAATATTTAAACTGCATACCAAAATTAGCACCTACCATACCATCAAACCTTGCTTACTACTGTATCTAATCCATTCACTGAATGGTACAATGCAAGTAGCAACTTCTGATAAGGTTTTTCAAACCATTCTGAGCGTTATTCTGTGCCAATTGGGAAACTAAAACAGAAGTCCAAGTGGAAAAAAAAAAAAAGGAGACCCAAATACCTTGGGGCTGCACACGCATTTGTCTTTGTTGCTGCTGTTTTTTTAAAACAGAAAGTTACGGCATTTTCAGCAAGATGAATTAGCTCCCAAAGAGATCTGTCTTACGTCAGCTGAATTTCTTCCAACAGACAAATCAGTTCAGAATTCTCAGCAGTATGAAAAAATCTAGCAATGCTCTTTTTTTTTATTCACCGTCTTCCGATTTGTTAATTATCATATATTCTATAGCAAGCTATTTGAGTCTGGTGCTGCACTTCTGTTCCAAGTTCCTGTAGCAATGACTTGTGCTTCAGGTGCTGCACATATACTAACTAATAAGAAAATAGTGCTTAGACAGATGGATAGCAATGAAGATGTTGAAAACATTCACTGACTGAGAAGGCAGACAATACAGGCTTGAGTTTAGCAAGGTAGGGTTTGGAGAAAGACTGAGAGCAGAAGCAAGGTCAACAGAGGTGGAGATGACATCGAAGCTGAAAACTTCAGCATAACCAGAATTATATTCTAATTATATAGGTAAAAGAAGTTGGAATAAAGAGAATAAGAGTCAAGGATTAAAGTAAGCCCACAGTTACTGACATAGTAAATAAATGAGAAAAAAAGATTCATAAAGAAGCATACGACATACCTGTAAACCATTTCATTCGGAGCCGTTTCATCAAAGGCATAATCAAAACGAAAAGTTTGGTTTTCTAGGTACCTTGTTAAATCCACCTTTTGTTTTGGCTCATGTACCATCACAACATCTTTGCTAGGAATTGTTATTACATCAAGGTCTTTCATTAAAGTTTCTATAAGATAAGTGAAATACAGATTTTTATCTATTAACACTTTTCTCCTACCCAGTGTTTACACTTCTATAAAATCTCACATAACACAGCTACTCTAACTAACAACAGTGCAAAGGACTGTTACCTGAACAGCAACCTGCTAAGTAAGATTTCATTTTGGAAACCTAATCATCCTATCAGTGGAGAGAAATTCATGAGAAGTGTTAAAAAGTTGAGAAGAAAAAGAAAGATCAGTTATGGTTCGCAGTGTATTCTATAGTAATGTTTTCTATGGATCTTCTTTTACCAAGGTTTATTTACTCTTCTGCAGTTTACACTGTGAGTTTTTATAAATAACTTCTCTGGAGAAACCGGACATTGCAGCTGCTAATTGGACTGTCCAACATACAAAAAAAAACCCCTTTAGAAGGACCATCTTTATTTTTATGTTTTGCAATTTCATTTTCTCTAAATCCAAATGTTACAGTAAGTAAACGTTTTAAAAAATATGTTATAGTAAATTATCTTGTAAACAGAAACCGAAAATGCTAATGATGCTTTCTATCAATGGGAACAAACAAAAGCCATTTAGATGTGACTTCAACAATGAGTTCCCAGGTTATAATTACTAAGCAGAACTACAATTCATGGCTAATTGTTGTGGGAAATAAGAATCGGCAAAATATAGTGAACGCAAGTGGTCCATGATATGCACGAAAATCAAGATCTTTTGTATACAGTCAGGATCACTAATGTGTCCTACTTGCAATTCTACATAAAATTTCTTAAGGTATGTAGTTCAAAAATTAGATGTAGCTTTATACAATCAGATAGAAATCTTTTCATCAGTTAACACATTCATCAAACAGTACAATGGTTACCACTTCATGACATTTCATGCCAATGCAAGAATGCATGCAAGTCATAATGTAATTAAAATTTGAACTGCATTGCAATAAAATAAAATGCAATTATTCTTCAGTAATCACAGACAAGAAATAAAGAACACCAGTAAAAACAAATATATGAAGGTCAATTATTTACAGAAACTCAGCTTTTCCACTAGAGCAGTCAAAAGCTGTTACTTCTTTAAGAATAGCTTGCAATTAGACATTCACCTCCCCCTCAGCTCTAGCAACCTGCATTCCTTGCTGATGAAAATTTGGAATACTATCTGTGAAACCTCAAAATACATCTCTCAATTGTAAATATACCTCACTAAAATAAAGAATCAACCTGAAGATTTACTTTCTGCAAGGTCAATTCACAAAATGATTCGTGCCTGAAGACTATAGTGATAATTTTACCCGCATGAGGCTGACAGAGTGATTGGCAGACCTGATTTGAACATCTTACAGAATTCCAAAATACAGAACATGGAAAGGTAGTATGTTCGAATATCCTTCATGAAATAGGGATACAAACTTTTTTTCCCCTCTTCAGCGGATTGTACACTTCTATCTTCGATTTTTTTCATACTCTTTATTTAAAAACGTGGCATAAGAAATACCGCTTCTTACGAACTCTCAAAAATAGAACACGTTTTCAGAAGATTGTATCATGGGAATACTGGATTACCTCTCTGCTTCCGCCTTTGCATAATTATCTCATTAATGTCCTTTTTTTAAAAAAAGCTTATTCTTAAAAAATATAAAATAACTTCAATGCCAACTCCCCTTTCGCTTTGCTGCTTATCTTCCTAAAATCTCCTCAGCAATATTTTCTTAATAGCTTGTAATCATTCATAGCTAAAATATGCAACTTATACCATTTTCAATCTGACTTCTGAATCCCAGCTTGTTCCTTGTAACAATTTGCTGTCACTTACCATAATTTCATTTTGTGCAACAGTGCAGATAAAAGGCGATGATTGTGTACTGAATATCTTTATTATATACTTTATGAAAAAGTTTCAACTAAACAGTTTTTAGGATGGTTAATCCCTTTCAGATCAATAAGAAAAAAATTGAAAATAAAACAAACTATATACTGACATCAGCATACGTTTTCACTTTGCTATATAATTCTCCTCTATGCCTCTGGAAGTGCTGGCTCCAGATAATCCTCAAAGTATAGTTCTGACAGTACAAAACCACTAAATACACCCCATGTTGTTTCAAATAGAGTGGTGCTCTTTGAATCCTTTAGCTAAAAGGAAAAGAGAAAGAATGACATATCTTTCAAGATGAAAATTAGCTTAAATTATTGCTGAATTTAGATGAGTCCCAATCCAGAAACATCTCTGATTCTTACTTTCCCACTGATGGTGAAGAACTTGATGGGAACACTGGAATTTAACTAGAGTTGAAACAGTTTTGGGAATTTTTACTACAGCCTACAACCTAATGAATAAGAAGTTGTAATACTCTACATACATATCTCTAAATACATCACTGTAGATTAATTACAGTACTTAATACCAGATGTTTAGTAACATTTCATAAACCTTAGAACATTTGCTCAGACCTGAGCTGCAATTATAGGAGATGTGAATCTCCAGTTCGCCCATATCCATTACTTCTATGAAAATTTTCTGGATATCTTTGGGTGTCTAACATATCATGGAACATCAACATTAGGCACCATCTAAATCCCTCAATGTTTTATTCAAGACTTGAAAGTGGTTAAAAAAAAAGCACATATAAAAATGGGCAAAAAAAACTTCCACAGAGTAGCTCATTGATAAAAAGATTACTTAAAGGATAAGTTAAAATAAAGGTGATACCAACAGAATGTAAGAATGCTCAAGAAATTAAAGCAGAATTAATTTCCAGACCAACTAAACACACTACAGATAACCATGTAAAAAAATGCAATTTCTGTGACTACTTCCAGCCTATAAAATGGTAGCAGTTAAATTACTTTTGTCCCTCTCTTTATCCACGCTATGACAGATCTATGAATTGTCTGGGTTCCTCAAACATTTTTTCCTAGTATAACAGTGTCATTTCCAGTATTTTAGATCTTCTCACTACAAAGGACACTGCAATCAGAAGCTTTTCAGAGAAAGAATTTTGTGAAATCTTGAAAGGTCATACCTTTTCTGTTGAGTGGTCGTTTTCGCACACAAACACATATCCTGTGCTCATCAATCTATAAAGGAAAGATACAGTTCACTGAAAGATTCTAAGTTCCAGTTATAGATTATTTTATTTCTATTTATGAATTAATTAAACAATTTTTAAATTAAGAGATTTTTCAAAGACTGTGAGTCATATAAACAGCAAAAGCCAACTGTATCCGCAAGAAACTAAAAGGGACAACTATGCATTAAAAATAACCAAATTACTTGCAGATAGTGATATGATGCTGTAGAGTACTTGGTACATACTGCACCATAGTAAGCAAACCCAGCTGTAATAGGTTGGATAAACTATTGGTGGAAATTGTTACAATCACTGATTTGGATCACAGACCACAAAAGTCTGATAATGTGATTTAAATGCAAATCAAAGGCTCTCATCAGCTCGAAAAAAAAAATCAAACATTATCAAATATTTCAGCTATATATAAAATAATCAAAAATCTTCACATTCAGTGAGGTTTTCCTGGGAACCTAAAGGGTATTGTCTGCACATCCCTTACTATCCCTGGAAAATCTAGAAAAAACAAACACATGCTATAAAGAATACTAATACTAAGCTACTTGTTTTTCATGTTTACAGACAGAACTGCATTCATATAGTGAAAACATTAAAAAGACACAAAAAATATATAAAACATTCCCACACTGCCTGGATACTTACAGGATCAGCAGTTGTCAGTGGTCTATAATCCAAATTTCCCCTGAAATCTCTTATCATACACATAATTTCATAGTTGGGGTTTGTAGCATCAACATCCTACGGAAGTAAGCAAGAGAATTTCTTACATTTTTTCCCGAAATTAACAGATTTCAATACCTTCTGTACTTAATTATAAAGAAAAATACACATTAACTGATGTAGCTAATTTACTGAACATAAAAGAAAATAGTTACACTGTTTCTATTAATTTAGTATCTATAGTCAATCTGAGACATAAGACTATACAGTGAACAAGTGAGTAAACCATTATTTGCGCTATTATGCTTCACAAAACAGTGCAGGTATTCTGGCTGCTCCAAACAGATCTGAGTGAGTTGAAGTTTGATTCTACTACTGGTCCTGAATTAACTCTTACAGTAATTTGGATACACTGTCAATTCTTCCAGCATTCCTGGAAGCTCCAAGAAGTAAAAGCAATCCCAAGGTTACACAATATGCTACATCCAGACACACAAGGCCTCCCATCCCTAAACTTGGAACCATGAATAGCACAGCAAAAAGACACGTGTCATGGTTTCATGTTTTTTGGTTTTCAGTATTCCGCATTATAACATCATGTAGTGCACAGGCAGTTAAAGTGTTAACGCTCCAATTCCAGGTACCTATCCCTATACATTATGGAAATCATGGGATCTGGCCCTTCCAGGTGGGGCAGTCTCTAACTGCCTGGCAATGGGTGCTGGAGGGCTTTCCTAGCCGTTCCAAGCTTTTCAGGTTTGACTCGGTCTCAGGAATTCTCTCTCTCCTATCTTATTTGATTTATTAGTCTCAATTTCAATTAGATCGTATTATATTGTGTTATCTTGCATTCCAAAATCATAGTTAGTAAAATAAGTTTTCCTCCATAGATCGTTGCCGCTGTTTTTTTTTCCTTCCTTCCTATTTTGTGGGGCTGGGGGGGGGTCAGGGGCATACATTGATCTAGTTAACTCCGTGACAACATGCAAGAACTTGTGCGTGGAGCCTAAGCCTTGTCAGCCAGAGCATCTAAGCTGAGAAGGCTGCAGAATTCCTTATATACCCCTTCCTGTCAGTTTTTACAGTTTCAGGACATCCTACTGATGCCATACTCAGCTCGTTCTGGTCCACATACTTTACTGAGCTCTGCATGGCTCATCACACGTAAGTGAAGTAGCATAGGCACTTTCAGAAAGCACTGCACTGGGGTTAACAAGATGAAATAGAGCCACCTGATGTCTATGAATCTGTGAAAAAGTTGATCGCATCCCAGACAAAACTGCGCCCTGGTAATTAGAAGTTGACTATGCTTATGTTCTTAACCCTAAATACAGCGAACCTAAAACCACTCAGAGTAAGTCTATATAAAATGTATTATAGCTTAAATATTTCCTGCTATAATTCTGAAAAGGCTATTACATATTGCAGAAAAAAGTAATTGTTCTTTTAACTCCACATAAAAATCATACCCACTAGAAGACACTGGTTACCTAATTATCACTGTACTTCACAACAAAATGCACAAAAGATAGAGACAGGTCAACAAGACAGCCAGATCTTCTTCATCCAGAAGTCAAAGACTTCAGCAGAACAGTGTCTTCACAGAAAAAATAAGAGAATCTCAGGTTTCATACCATGTTATAAAATAAAAATTATTTGTTCCTCACATATAGTTATGTTTTGTATTTGTTTAAGCAAAGGAAAGTGAGAAAACATGAATTCAACATCAGTCCTTTTAGTCCAGCTTAGAAACATTATTAAAGCATGAAGTAAACTAGGTGAATTAAATACTCAGTGGTGGTACTTATGTCAGCAGCAGATCAGTACTGCTCTTTAGAGAGACTAACACATACTCACAAACCTGCCAACAAGATTACACTACTACTTTTGCTGAACTTTTACACTGCTGTGACAGAAATTAACTTATTATTAGATCTTTTTCCTGATAGGATTAGCAAATTCATCTCTTTCACACAAGTTTCTAAGAATTTATTCCCAACCTGCCTGCATGATGCAAAGCTAAACTTTAAAGCCATAGACTTTAAAGAAGTTTAAAAGAAGTTTAAAGAAGTAAAAATAAATAAATAAAAATAAAAATCAAATTGAGCTTCAAATGTTTATCTGACAAAACGTCAAAGATCAGAAATTTCAATGTTACAATAAATTGTTCTATCTCAAGCCAAAGCTTGATGGTTTTTAATCAATATATTATCCTTAAGATATAGGTATCGTCAGCACTTGTATGAAATAACATATGGAAAAATATATGGAATAATACACAGAAAAATAAGTAACTGCACACAATTATTTGTGTAGGAATAAAAAGAGTGGGAAAACTGTCTAAATACTAAGTTATTGGAACAATGCAAATATGCACAGTGTGCAATGCAAAATGACGTATCAAATTTGTATGTAGGAGAAAAAACATTTAGTTTCAGGATTATCATCATTCATAAAAATTATATAAGAATGAAAAAAAGTATGATCTAGGCTAAAAATACTAACCTGAGCTCTTTTTTCTCTCAGTTCTTGCTGCTGTAACCTTCTTTTTTCACGTTTCTCTTGCAATTTTTCAACCTCTTTTACACAATTAGATTTTCTACGTGCTTGGAGGAAACGATATAATTTAAAATATTTTCAGAGTGTTGCGCGAGTTTAATAATTACACTACTACTTCAATTATATTCATTAATCAATAATCGGTACACATTTATATCTACTATCTTTTTAAATAAATCAGGGTTAGTGCAGGATAATTACAGGAATTCAGTGTCTAAAATTTATCAAATAAATGAAGGGAAATGGAACAGTAATTAAAAAACAAAAATATAAGGAAAGTGATCCTTAGAAAACATTTGGACAGGTACATGTGATCTCTTGGTTTGAATTAAAAAAGTCTAGACAAATGTAGAACAAAAACAAAAAACAACAATAAAAAACCCACAAATTCATGATGCGAAGATAAAAGATAACAAAAGATAAAAGAAAAATAAATTCCAATTATGGCAAAACTGATCATTTGTTTAGCCACTGTGCTCTGAAAAAGCTTCATTAGGAAGCCTACAGACCATTTGTCCTTTATGAACAGCAACATAATCCAAGAGAATCTACATGTAATGTCCAGGATGAAAGAATCCTTGAGATACGGTTTACATACAAGGGGGTCCAAATTCCTTTTTTGCAGCTTGAACTGGAGATATATCTGAAACAGTACCATTCTGTTGTGAGGAAGATGACTGTTCAGGAAGCTGAGTGGGCCGTGCACGTGCAGAACCAGCCACTGCAAAAGAAAAGAACAAAGCTGATCCAGATATTAAATAATAATGTATCAACCCAATTTTGAGATATTTTATTATGATAAGATAAAACTAGGCCTCTTTTGACAGATAATTTACTGAGAATTGGAGGGAAGTTAGATATACACACATATATACAAGAAAAGTTCATTATTAAAGACAGTATGCAGATTTTTTTTTATTCTAATGCATATAGAATCATAGAATCATTAACATGGAAAAAATCCTCTCAGATCACCTAATCCAACCATTCACCAATATTACCCACTAATCCACATCCTCAGTGCCACATCTAACACACTTCTTGAATACTTCTAGGGAAGGTGATGTATAACTGTTTTACCTCATTTCTATAACAAAGAGATGTAAGCTGACCATTTGCTTCACCTTTAACTTTTAATCATTTTTTCTCCCTTCTATTTGCACCCGTACTTTTTTGAGACCTTCTTACAATTCCTACTCAGTTGTTTTTTTTCCCCCTTGCATGACAGGAAAATTTTTCTCTGATACACCAACACAAACTATGACATACCTATGTTGCCTGTGCAAATTATTACACATTCTACTACAGAACTAGTACAACGTATTATGTACATAGAATGAAGAATATACTTGGAGATATATGGTCCTTTAGTGCTGTAATTTTATTTATTTTACAAGAAAACGGACCCATGGTTTCACTCTTTCACTCTTAAGAAATTAAAAAAAATAGTCTCACCTCACTGAACCTACAGTATTTGAAGGAATAAAGGGATAAAAGTGAAAGGCAGCCAAGTGCAGCTCAATTTACAAGTGGAAGAAATAAACTTTTTTGAGATCTAGTTGAAAGGGGTACGTCTACCTAAATTTCTGCATTGATTCCATATGTGATAAGAATGCCACTTTTCTAAAGACACAATGTTCTCTCTTCCCAGTGAATGCAGTGTGAGGAGTGAGCATGCAAGCCTCTCCGGTAGAGTTGAATATTTTGTTTGTTGAAAAGGTGCTTCAAGTGCTTCTGCTTCAGCTCGGCAGTTTCTTGTACATGCTAGTAAAGAGCTCTGCCAGAAGAGCATGAAATTGAAGGTAACAGTTTTGATTAATAGCTTAGAGATGACATTCCAAAAGCCAACATACTGTACAACATAGAGAAAACTGTGGAAACATTCAAAAAGAACAGACAAAAACTCCCAGATCACTTCCAAATACGACAGATCTACTTTACAGTATGAATTTACTCCACTAAATAAGAAAGTATGTCAAGAAAAGCTTAATTACAAAAGAAAAGAACTAATCCTTAGGTACACTGCAAATAGTAAGATGCACAGTACCTACTGAAATGCAAGTTGCAGAGTTCCATACCAAATAAGAGCATTTACTACAAATAACAATTTATATAGATGAGAGGAGAGCCCATCAACTAAATGTCACAAATATAGACTATATTACCTTGAAAATAATAACTGAAAAGCTATTTTCTCCTTACGATATTTCTGATTTGGTTTGCACCCCTGAAGACAAGGCAGTAGGCAGGAAGTGGTTTCTACTGTCCACCTGAGAAAAGTCTGAACTCTTGGAAAAATATGCAAGCCCACTTAAAAGTAAGTTGAAACAGATGAAATGGAGTCAAGTTTGAATTAATGATACAGAATTAATGTTTGGAAGAGTGATCACCATCACTAGATCAAGTTATGCTTAAAACAGATATGAAAATGAAAAAATAAGGTAATAACTACTCCTTTCCATATTATGAATGTGTTGTATCTGTACTCATCTAATACTTCATTTCATCTATCCTCCTGTTGTATTTTTGTGGATTTTACAAATTTTTCACTACTAACTGCTAGAAAACTGAGCCAAAAACTTGAAAAAATTTTAAGCACACTACTTGTAGTATATGGAAACAATCAAGCTGAAGCAAACTGATGTTTTCATTTGTAAAAAGTCCATGTATCATTTAATGTCACACAGTTAATGAACTTCAAATTTCAGCACCTTCATTTTATTCACCTTAACTTCCTCGATGCTTTGTTGCTTCAACTTGCACATAAATATTGTTCATACAGCATCCATTCCTAAATACACACAGGATTAATTCTAGGAATGATATACCATGTCTTCTACATTGTCATTATTAAAGAATCTTAGAAAAGCTCCAAGTTAGAATCTTTCCATATTGTTTGTTTCCCTGAAATGGAAAGATACAATATTTACCTCTATTATCTCTGGCAGGGGCGTCATTCTTAACAGGTGCCACAGTCCGTCGACCCTATAAAGACAGAAATCTGATATTTGACCACCTCATAATTTAAAATATAAACTGAAGCCTCACCTAGGTTTCCAGCATAACATCAGCAATACAACACAGAGAGGTGATTATTGTCAAATCCATCTCTGAAGAGCCTAGCATTGAGACTATTTGAACTACACAAACTGTTTCAAAACAATCCCCTTTTATATATCTTTTCCTTGAGCTATATCTAGCTGTATTAGTTCCTAACTCTCTCCCTGCCAAACAGATTCTCAGAAAGCCTCATTCACCATGGGGAAAAAATGGAACATATTCAACAAGTAGATCCACAGACAGAAGCCAAATGTAAAAACTCAAGCATTAACAACATGTTTATGAGTTCCGTATGAATAGATTTTACCAACCTTAACTATTTTGTTTACTTTGGCTGATGGAGCAGGTAGCGGCTGTGTCTCAGTGCTAGGTTCAATATCTTCATCAGGTGCAAGATCTGGATTAAGTGAAAATATGCTTTCCAAGTCAATCTATTTAAAATAACAGAAAGAATATTTATGAGTTCAAGAACAAATTCATCTTGTTCATATCTGTTATGTTTGAAAATAAACAAAATATACCCCATAATATATCCCAAAATAAACAAAAATACTCCTCAACAGGTCTTATCCTACTGTAATCTGCAATTCTATAACAGGAAATGTCTCGTTTCAAATTTGTTAAAAAAATCAGAAGTGTTAGTTGTCATATTAGTTGACATGTACAGCTATTAGAAAACAGATGTATTAATAATGGTGAAAAGATATTCAGAATTTAATAGTGTGATGAAATTAAAACAGAAGAATCTAGCATTACTGAAGAAAATAAACCGAGTATTCTACGCTGCACAGTATTTTATAGCAAAAACTACCCCAAAAATAAAAAGGTGACTTGAAACTATATTAAATATATTACCATGTTATTTTCATCAAAGAGTTCTTCATTCAAAATCCATTGAGACTTAGCTTTCTAAAGGCTTTAAAATAGTTTTTGTTTCTAGACTGTCATTTCCCCAGGCTGGAACTTTCAAAGATCTAATTACTGTATGGATTCTTTGTGTCCAGAAGGATGAGCTCAGATAATGAAGTCACAGAACATTCTCCTATTTTTTTGTTTTGTAGGTTTTCATCTGACTGGGAAGGTGTAATTATCTCTAAAATGCTTCTCTAAATCTCACCCTGAACAGGGTAAGCAGGCTCAAAACTTCCAGGAAGGAACAACAAAATATAACTGAGACACAGAAATACATCATTTCATAAAGCAAAGAAGTCTGAAAAATTACCGCCAAAAATAAGTTACGTAAATAAACTTTGTAGCAGTTAAATTCCTCAATAAAACAAGCAAATGCAATTCTGACCTACTTCTCCCACTAGTTTCCTGTCTGAACTGAAAGTCATTCTCCTTCTCAAAAAATCTAATTTTTCTACTTGTAAAAAGGGGTTAACGAGGTCAGCCTTTGTAGCTGGATTCAAGATCAGTAAATAAAAAGCACTATTTGAAAGCTATGACACTGAGATCAGTAAGTGAAATTTAATACAACAGAAGACAATGTTTGCCCAAAAGCTCCCATTCAGAAGCCTGTAGCCAAAAATGCAGTTTTGTATTTTATCTTCCTTTCCACTGCAAATTCCAAAGCAACATTCATGGAGACTACGCATTTTTAAAAAACAGTGAGGTTCTAAAATAATTAAGTTTACCTCTTTGCCCTTAGTATCCCCATTTTCAATCCACTCAACAGTTACGCTTTCATTATCTTCATTCAGGGATGTTACCATAGCTTGATGAATTCGGCCTAGAAAAGAAACATATGATCGCTTATTAGCAAGTAAAAAAAAAAATCTCAGAATTTATTTGAACCCCTGTACGATAAGAGGCAGGAACAAAAGGGTTAAAACAGAAAGGGGAGTAAGTAAAAATGATTGCTGGTCAAATACTGAAAGTCGGCTGAGATACAATCTGCTAGCAGAATGGGACAGTGAAAAAATTCAAGGAGCAGAAAACAGCGGTAAGTAAACAAAACACTGTTTGAAAGCCACAGCACTTGAAATCTTTTTTCTATGATAAGTTTTGTTAAGATTTCCAACAACACAGCACAGAATTTACTATGGTGCACTTCACAAAAACTTTCTGCCTCCTTCCTAGGTTGATACAAGATTAAACGTGCTGACATAGCAGTAAAGCGCCATAAGATTACATTCTGACACCCATCCAATTAGTCTGTAATTCAGCTAAAATTAAGTTTGCTCGTAACAATAATATAAATCCTTGTTTCATAAACAACTGCTAATATACCACCAATATAACTTACACAGTGAAAGATCTCAAGCCAGTAAGACCGCATAAAGAAGAATAAAAAGTAATGTTTCAGTTGATAAAGATTTTCCTTAAACGTGTGTGTGTATATATATATATTTTTTTATTATTATTATTTTTTTTTTAACTAACTTCTATCATATTTTATCCCTTCTTCTAGATACGGTAGCAAGGAGTAATTGCAAAAGCAGAGGAGCCATGCACTGACATAAAAGGATCAAGATCCAAGTGTCACATTGATTTCACATTCATGCTTTGCCCTAAAATCCAAGAACCGAGCTTTCTAAAGAACAAAAGTCCAGTGCAACTGCTTCTCTGACACCCGTCTTTAACAAGCCACTGCACAAAAAAGCAAGCCCTTACTCTGCTGAATTGAGAAGGAAATGCAAATGATAAGTAAAAAATAAATTCTAAATAATATCACTCCCCAAAAGAAAAAAAAAAAGAATTGAAAAAAAAAAGAATTAATGCAAAGCTCTTAAAACTTTACAGCAAGATGCAACTTAAACCTTCCATAAATTCCCTCAAAACTGTACAATTTTAAATTATTTATGGTTTACAGCCTATGCACTCCTACATCTGGTGAACTCTGCAGATGCCCTTACTAAGCCACGTTCAGCTTGATTGAAGACCATATATCCACACAGCCTCCCACTCAATTATCCAAGGCCAACAGCACCCTAGTAATTCTCATAAAAACAGCTCACACTGCCCACATTTCACACTGTAGCAACTTGTGTGCATCCACTTATACCTGCCTGTCACAGTCAAATGATGGCTTCAGTGACCAACTCTGGGCACCCAATCATAAGCCAGCCTCCAAATGGTAAAGAACCGTGTGCCACTCCCAAAACAAGCTGAGGCTTCCACCATTAAATATGAAACCACCTTGGCCCTTAGCCATCTGTCATTGCTTAGGTCTCCTCCACTTCACATATTCTTGATAAACTGACTATTAATGACTTGAACAGATTATTCTTTATCCAGTAAACAGTAGGTTGGGAAGTCAGTCTTAAAGAGCCTAAGTGAAAAGAGTTAAATCCAGTTGGCAGGCCATCAGCAGTGTTTCCCAGGACTCAGTACTAGGTCCAATTCTGTTTAATATTTTTATCAATGACTTGATTGGGGAATAGAGTGAATCCTCAGTAAGTCTGCAGACAATGCCAAGTTTTCATGTGCTGGAGCGTAGGAAGAAGCTGATCAGGCTGCACCAATGGGCTGCACCCAGCTATATGGCATTCAGCTAGGTTAAAAGCCGGGCACTACTCTTGGGTCATAACAGTCCCATGCAGTGATGCAGGCTTGGGGAAAACCAGTTTGAAAGTTGCCCAGCAGAAAATGATGGGCATGACAGTCAACAGTCATCTAAACACAAGTCGGCTGAGTGCCAAGGTAGCCAAGAGGGCAATGCTTTCCTAAACTGCATCAGAAATCATATGGCCAGCAGGTCTAGGGAAGTGATTGTCCCTCTGCATTCAGCCTGGTGTGACAGAACACACCAGAAGTGCTGTAGTCAGTTTTGGGCCCCTCGCTACAAATAGAATAGGGAGGTACTGGAACGCACACACAGAAAAGTAACAAAGCTGCTAAACGAACTGGGAAAAAAAAAAAAAACACAAGAGGCAGCTGAGAAAACTAGGGTTGTCTTTTCTGGAGAAACGAGGCTGCAGTGAGTTGAGTACCAGATTCTTTTCTGAAGTGAAAAGTGATACCACACAAGGAAGTGGTCTCAAGTTGCAACAGAGGCGGCTGAGATTGGATATTGGGAAGATTTTCTTCGTGGAAAGAGTGGCCAAGCACCGGAACAGTCTGCTTAGGGAAGCAGTAGAGTCTTCATCCCTGGTGACAGTTAAGAGACCTGTAGATGTGGCACTAAGGACACATTCTAGTAATGGGACTTCATGGGTCAGGTTAACAGTTGGAAGTCTTTGTCATCATAAACAATTCTGTAGTTCTCCTTTACTAAGACTTCCAGCCTCCAAATCCACCCATGTTTTCTCCTCCATATATTACCTAAATCAGAATTTTAAATATCTCAGAAATAATTTGGTAGTCTTTCGGAGAAAATTATTTATACACTCCAAGCCTTTTAGGGAACACTGAGGGACAGAAAGGAAGAAAACTCTTAGATGGTATCTCAAGTTATCTCACCTAACAGCACAAGTAACAGATGTATGTTTTTAGCACTTCTTTTGTTGTAAAGGCTGCCTAATCATTCACATCCAGGTACACCTAGGCAAAAAAGAAATACTGCGAGCGTCAGGAAGGTAGAGTAGATCTTTGCAGTCTGATGTAGCATTCAGAGGGATGGACTGAATACAGCTCAGACAAAAGAAAAGCAAATGGAGGGATGCATGCAGCAGCTGGCACTCCAGGCAGCAGTGCTTTCACATTTGCAGCATTTACCTCACAGAGAACATTACATAACCACTTCTAAACTCTGCACTTGCCCCAAGCGTAAGCACAAGATTCAATTCTCCACTTAAGGATGTTGAGTAGTAGTTAATTTATTATTAAAAAAAGTCTCCCCCTTTGGTTCCTTTCCTTAAAAGGAACTAGTGTTTGCTAGTTTTTATGTCTCTGAACCACATATAATTTATTTTTTAACAAACACTGCTGTTTGTGCTTCTTGAGCAGCACTCCCATGCATGTCCCAGCACTCACATGCACACTGAAGGCAAGATCTAGATTCTCACATGGCAATTCTGGTGCTTAAGTTGCTCACAGAGGGGAAATAAATGGTGACACACACACTGCCATGTTTACACCATGCTCATTCAACACAACAAGCAATGTGCACAAAGAGCACAGTCTTCACTTTCCTCTGTACACATCAGCATGGATTTTGAAAAAGCAGGCACATGAGCAGGAACCACAGCCATGCTGACCTTGCCACACACTGACGTTCCTCCTTTTTTCTACACCCAAACAATGTTGTGCAAATACATCCTGGCCTCAGGATCACTTCCTAATTCTGCTGGTGACCGTGCTGAAGCACACTCACTCAGCAGAGAATTCCTGCACTTCTTTGTAACTGCTCTTTGGATGAACTTTTCTGTGCAAATTTTCTTCGTGCAACATTCTCAGTATACTTGTCTGTTAATTTTTCTGCAGCTAGTAAACAACCCTTAGTGATTAAATTTTCTTCAAGAACACTCTGCTGTAGAACTATTTTAATGAGTTCTCTGATTTGCTAGCAAAACAGATACACAGCCCACTTCTTTTCCTGTAGTGCTGCCACTTCTGCCATTGCTACAAACAGCTTGCTGCAAGGACACAAAAAACTTTTCATCAGCAAGGGAAATGGCAAGACCTAACAAGTTTAAATAAATATAGTTTTTTGTCTTAAGGCATGGTCCAGTTGTCAAAGGAAAACTGATATGTGAAAGATATAACGTTAGTAAAACAGAGTATAAAATATTATAATATTCATTAGCATGTCACCAGGTTTTATAAATTTTGTTCACAGCTGAAACCTGTGACACTGCATTAATCACAAAGACATCACGTTGCCTGTTCCCTGTCTTATTATTTTCAATACAGAATAAATAATATTAAGATCTTTTTTAAAGGTTTAATCTTCGCCAAAGCAAGTGAAAAGAGATCAAAGTAGGCTGATGAATGAATAGAAAATACTAAATCCTCTCACAAGCACAATAAGCTAACATGCCATAATGAAAAAGAATCACAATAACTCTTCCATCTCTATGCCAGATTTCATCCACTCCCTGGCCAAGACAGTCAGGATTGAACTAAAAACAAAAAAAAAACAAAAACTTATGTCCAACTTCCAAATATTCTTGGCTTAAACAGAAAATATATGTACTACAATGTTTAATCTGGCATTGTACCCATACAATTTGTTCCTTGAGATTGTTAATATGTTATTAAGAGTTTACATGTTACTGAACCGCCAGAAAGCACATTTACATCTTTACAATTGCCTCTTGCTCTCTGCAAACAGTATGCCATTATATTTTTCTAGTACACAGCTGAATACAGCAGCTGTGAAATTCAGGAATGCAAGCAACCAATTAGGCTGGCATAAACCTCGTCTAGCATATAAAGCAAGACCAAGCTTTTTAGCAAATGCTAAAAGCACAGGAGCCAAATCAATCTGCAGAGTGTGGCTGAAGACATCTCCCATTTTTGGTGTATTTTCTATAGCTGATATGAAAATATGAAATGTAAACATGTTCATGCAAACACGAATGCATGTTATGATTAACTAAAAAGCACATGATTACAGAAAGTCTATCTTTGCAGACATCTCAAAGACAAAAGAAGAAAGACCAGGGACAGAGGTGATGCACTGATTCTTCACTTGATTTCTAGTTCCTCTACACATGTGTTTGGCAGATCATGATGTAGATAGGTACACTCTTCACTGAGTAAAAAACTGGCTGCATGGTCAGGACATTCAGAGTGGTGGTGGACTAAATTAAATCCAGCTGGCAATTGTCATCACTGGTGCTCCTC